TACTGTACATTGGCACAGCTATGGGGATCTGGTCGGCCTCGACCCGTATCCTCGCTTTAGTCTCGTTCTGCCCTAGGCGGTCGTCAAACCCAAACGCCCTTTTGCGCTTTTCCAGCATCTTCCACGCCCGCTCTTTGAGGCCTTCCGGCAAGTCGCCCACGTCGATGAGCTCCCTCATTTTCTCTGATGGGTAGGTAGTGGGATCTGGTAACGCAGCGGTTTTCGGTCCGTGGTTCTCCTCGTCTTGGAGAGCTCCTGCTAGAGGTTCCTCTGGAGCTGTTGGCGTTTTATTCCCAGCCGCCTCGTCCATTTTTGCCTCGATCACTAGGGCCTGGGCGCGGGCGTGGGCTTGCATCATCTGCCGTAGTCCCTCGTCTTTGCCTGGGTTGTCTAGGACGTCCCGTGGATCGGTGACAGTACCCAGGAGCTCTCCCTTCGAGATGACGCGTGGTCGGGAGCTAGTGTTACTCACTGGGACGAACGGGTTGTCGGAGTCGAAGAGAGTGTTGGCTAACACGAAGAAGTCTTCGGCACGGTGGGATCCTAGTAGGCTAGCCTCCAACAGCCATTCTCTATTCACTCCCAGCTTCCCTTTCACCTTCACTCTGCAACAGGTGTCGGCGGGAATGATGTAGTTACGGGCCGCTCGGATTCTCACCGAGGTGACACCTTGCGCCTTCTTTTCCCTTGCTCGCCTGCGCTTGTCCCTCCTGTGTCTCTTAGCCCGCATGGTTCGGGAGTGTATCGTCTTCGCTAGGTTGGCTATAGTTTCTCTGCCTTCAAAGGAGTCCTCCGTGTCTCGGCAGTCTACCGAGAACTCTGCGTTCTCCCCGAGCACTACCACTGGTTGGGATCGCCCTGTCCGTAGGACGCTCACGCCGTAGGTTCGCTGGAAGTCCTCGCCTAGCAAAAGTGGGACGTTCATGTTCCTCACTATGTAGGCTTCCGCTCTCATGACGAGTCGTGTCCCTTCTTTCGAATCTATGAAAACCGGGAGAGATACATATCCCTCTATGTTCGCGCTTCCCTTTGTCAGTTCGCCCAGCTGGATATTAAGCCCTTTCTTGACTTCGGGCGGATTGCTCATGGAGGAGAAGAACTCGGCGGAGATGAGGGAGATGTCGGCGCACGAATCCAACCGGAGGTCCATGACGTCTGAGTCCCGGTCGCCCACACGTCCTGGTATGGCTAGAACCGAGATTCCCACGGCTGAACGTCCTTCTGGCGCCCATCTCAACGGGGGTAGCTCCAGTTCACGCGGAGGGTCTTTGCCGGGAGTTCGGATCTCTGGTTCCGAACCGGGGGATTCCTCGTGTCGGTCTGTCTCTTCCAGTAGCGCTGCCCCTAGTGGCAACTTGGGCTTCCTGGCGAGTAAGGACTCGTATTCATCCTCCACTTCCTCGCACCTCACGCTGGTTTGGGACTTACTCGTTCTCACGTCCGCGTGGACGCTTAGCGAGGCCCGGTCAAAACCCTGTTGGTCGTTTTCGATCGTGGCCAGTTGATCAACTAAGACGTGATATGCAGCCTTGTATCTGGCTTCGTCCTCCACGTTCTCGTCTCTCGCCTGCGCTTCCGAGAATTTGACCGACTTGCGGAATCGGGCTTCATACACGTTCCAGTGTGGGCATTCCCTGTCCCAGTGCTTACTGCTTCCGCACACTTTGCAAGGAGATGGAGGTGGCTTCCCGAGCTTAGTTACCGTTCCGTCGGCTGGTTTGAATGGATACCCGTCCTTTGGGGGCGGGCGTTGCCTCTTAGCGAAGACCTGATATGCCTCCCTTAAGATCACGGCGTCTTCCGCCAGGGCGCTCGGCGTCCCAGCTTCGGTGACGGACATTTCTGGCTCAGGTTCGCCCTGGGCAGTAGTCAGATGAGCCCGCCTGCTGGTGCTCCGTCCTTCAGGGAGTAAGCCCAGCTGTTTGAGGGCTGGCACTAGGCTCTTGGCTGACGCGTTCCCGTCCCCCGAGGCGCTCAACAGGAGTCGCTCGTGCTCTCTGGCTTTCAGGACGAGCATGACCGTCCGACTCATGTTTTCAGTGACTAGGATGGTTCCCCAGCTCGGGGGGGCCACGCTCATGATTACACGGATTTCTTCGGCGCTCCCTTCCGGCGCGAAGGTGAGGACGCGACTGTGTACGATTCGTCTCAAAAGGAACTCCACTGGACTCTCCTGCGTGTGTCCTTCCTGTCGGAACTTCTGCGCCTCGAACTTACGGATCATGTCATTCCTCCATCGCTCGCCCAAGAACCAGTCTCGTATGTATGCCACGAAGCGGTCGGAATGTGACCTCATTTCCGCCTGCTCCGCCAAGGACAACGCCTGGTACCACAACTGTACGGAGGATCCCTCTTCGAACCTTTCGGGCAGCCAGTGGGCTACATGCCGGGGCATGTAGTTCCCGGACATCACGTACTGATTGATCTTGTGGAAATAGTAGATCGCCGAGTCGTCCTTCCCGTCCCAGGCAGGCAACTTGTCTGGCTTCACTTCTCCCTTGATGTACGACTCAAGGTTCGCCGTGACGCCCGGCGGTAATCCGCTTGAGGGGCTGCGGTCGCTTCCAGCATTTCCTCCAGGAGGGCCGGGCGGACCGGGCGGACCGGGTGGACCGGGTGGACCGGGGGGTCCCGGCCAGGGGTTACCTGCCGGAGATCCTCCCGCTCGAGGACGTCCGGTGAGCCCACTTCCTCCCGAGTTCTGAAAGCCGTCACCTCCCAAGGGGCTCGCTCCCCCTGGTATCGGGGTCGAGTTCCCGGTATACGGGTGGCGATTCCATGGTTCTCCAGGATCGTCAGGTTCCCCTGATCCCCCAGATCCACCAGGACTTCCACCCGTCTTGACGGCGGCCGCGCCCGCCTGTGAGGACGGAGACGCGGCTCCTTCCCTGAACCTTGACGGGAGGTGGCGGGACAAGTAGAGTGGCTTTGTGCGGCCTTCGGGCAATAAGCTCTCTGCCCGGGCAGTGCCCTCCGCAGGTCTACGCGAGAAGTTGGTTGACTCGGGGAGGGCTTCCTCCGAGACTGCCGACAAGGGGGGACCCACCGGGTGTCGTCTAACAGCCGAGTTACCCGCTTGACTCAGCGGTCCGGGAGGCGGAGCGTACATGGCCGGCTCAATCCGGTTCGTAGCTATTCCATGAAGGGACGATCGCCCCTGAGCTAGGAGAGCGGGCAGGCTGCTCTCTCTCTGGAACGTAGGTGTTTTGTCCGGGGCAAGCGGCGTAGCCTCAGGAGGCGGTAGTTGTGACGTTCCCGGCCGGTTTCCTGTGGCCGCAGAGAATTCGGCGATGGTGGGGATGCCCTCCTCCACTGTCATGCGCATGATGGTGCCGGGAGTAGGGTCGGGAGCTCGCGTGGCAAAGAGATTGATCGCTTCGGATGGCATCCAGTCTGGTTGCGCGTCCCAATCGTGGTTGGCGTCGACCGCGCGGAGAGTCTGAGCCGGCAGGCCCACTCTGTGGTAGTCTCGAGTCTGCACCAGTCGTCGCACCATGCGTCCTCCGTCGTTGATGCTCTCCCATCCCTGTCTCATCTCGGCGGTAGTGGAGGCTGGTGAGCCAGGGACCGTCCCGCCTTGGACCTCCTGTTCGTATCTCTCGAAGCGCCGCACTCCTTCCGATATTCTCTGCGTGACAATCCGGTACGTCGCGGCGAGCTCCGAGAACGAGGCTGTTCCCTTCAGACTGCGTATGCAAAGGGAACGTGGGTCAATCACAAAGGCCGGGCGCGGGGGATCGAGTAGAGAGGCGGCCGCATCCAGACCAGCTTGAAGTTCAGCGGCCGTCTTAGACACCAACTGGTACAGCTCGTCTCGGACCCGGTGCCTGTCGTAGCGGCTTAGCTCGCCCGGGGTTGCTATCCATAGCTCCAAGTCCATGGCCTCCAAGGTCGGTTCCTGACCGAGCATACGCGCTGACTCAAGGAGGCTGTGCTCCTCGTCTCTTTCCGTGCGTAATTCTTGTCCTAGCCTCACCATCCGAGCGGCAGCTTCGTCGCGTGGTATGCTTAACGGATAATGCGAGGAGTTGGAGGAATCCTCCGATGATCGAGAGGTGCGGGTGAGCGAGACGGCGGGGGCGAGGAGAGTGGTTGCCATGTCGATAGTGTCTCGGCCTGCTGGAAGAAGCAAGGGCGAGCGAGTGAGGGGCGAGTAAGCGGTCTCGCGCCGGGCTAGTAGCTCTGAGAGTAAGGGCGAAGACTCGGGTAGATGTCTCGGGCCCGAGTCGAGGGTGGAATCGCTGAGCTCTTGTTGCTCGACTTTCTCCAATGGGTGGAGAATTGGCGGAGACGGAGCGGGTTGTGGTGCTGGAGGCCAACGGCCCAGCCTGTCCGAATGTGGTTGGGAGCGCGCGGCTCGTATGCGTTGCGCGTGCGCTTCCTGGGCGCCTGAGAGCGATCCTGCTTCCTTCACGAGGTTTCTCTCAGCTTCCGGGGGCGACAGGGAGTGTTCCAGGGAGGAGAAGAAGCTCTCCTCTCCTACGGTGAGATCGTGAGCGACCTCTAGCGACACGAAGTCGTCTATGGATTCGGCCAGGTTAGTGGAGAGATCCCTGTGCGTCCACCAATGTAACGCGGCAGGTGGAATTTCCCACTAGAGAACGTAGCGGAATCCGAATTAAAGAGAAACGTAGAATTAGGAGAATATAGAAATTATGGCGTAGTCTCTAGGCTCGAGGAACTCGAACGTAGAGTCTAGCCGAGAGGCGACCACCAAGTGGAAGGCTCCGATTAATACACAATCCTAATCCTGACGAATTATACCCAGTCTGCTGGGCCCCGGTCGACTACAGTCAACGTCGCTTTGAGAGGAGGTCGAAGGGACCGTGGTAGTCAGATGTGAAGAAGTAAGTGCTCTATTGTTTGTAGAGCCATCAGTTGATGATGGCTCAGCCGCTTACGAATATACAGTGTGTAGGGTAAAGTTATGTAAGCGTGCGTACGAGAATCAAGAAATACCGTCCGTGTCACAGTTCAAGCGCAGCGGGCACAACTTCGGCATGCTCAGCCGCCCCGGCGCGTTCCTCGTCGACCTGGTCCCCGCGCTGCGCCACCTGCCGGGCTGGATGCCGGGCGGCGGGGCGCGCGCGTTTGCGCAGCCGTTCCGGGATGAGCTGGAGCGGATGCTCGACATGGGGTTCGATATGGTCAAGGAGCGGATGGTGCGTCGGTCGCGTCGCATGTCGCACGTGGGAGTCACGACCATGACGGCGCTTTTGGTAGGCGGGGGGAGGGGAGATCGAGCCATGTTTCCTCGCGTCCCAGCTCGAGGACCAGCAGCACGAAGACCACCTGCTCAAATGGGCCGCTGTGTCCATCCAAGTCGGCGGCAGCGATACGGTCAGTCAGCTGGAATCACAAAAAATGAAAGGATTTAAACAAGATTCCTCAGACCGAAGCCACGATCGAAGGCTTTTTCCTCGCGATGATGCTGCACCCAGACGCCCAGGCTGCCGCACGGGCAGAAATCGATGCCGTGGTCGGCCGGGATCGGCTCCCAGCGCTTGGAGATCGCGCTGATCTGCCGTACGTCAATGCGCTGTGCCTCGAAGTTCTGCGCTGGCACAATGCCTCGCCCACCGGTCCGTTCTTCGCCGTGTTGAGACATAGAACGCCCGCTTGGGGGGCTAATTGATTGATTGATTGATTGGAACTGTAGGCGTGCCGCATAGCGCTCCGGCTGATTTCGTGTACGAGCAACGCGATGGTCTGGGACCGGTGCTCATACCCAAGGGCGCGATGGTCATCCCCAACGTCTGGTCTGTAGCTCCTCCTCTTCCGATTGGTGACATCTGATGTTAACCAACCGCCCACAGGAAAATGATGCACGATGGAGAACGGTACCCCGACCCGATGACTTTCCGACCCGAGCGATTCCTGGGCGCCGAGGCTCAGGCCGATCCGAGACAGGTCGTGTTCGGCTATGGACGGCGGTCCGTTCCATCCATCCGCTCGCTTATGAAATGGCTCACGCATACCGTCAGCATATGCCCAGGTTCGTCGCCGTCGGAGTTTGGTTATGCGTAGTGCTCAGGTCGCACCAGGCCAGCAGCTGGCAGACTCCATGCTCTTCCTGACGTGCGCTGCCGTTCTATCAACCCTCACAATCTCCCCAGTCCTGGATGACGACGGCAGGCCTGTCATGCTGACGCTCGGTGGGACAACTCAGGTTGTGAGGTGGGTTTCCCGTCGACATCCTGCAATCACATCTCACGTTGAGCTGCTCTCAGCCGTCCTTTCCCGTTTGATTGTGTCGTTCGGGCAAGGGATGAGCGGGCTCGAGCTTTGATACATTGTGATTGATCACCGATTTGCAATATGAGCACATTCTGTTCGGCTTGTCCATGATCCATCCTCTAGCCACTTACCCCAATTTCATACTGAACCAGAGATCGCACATCCGCAGACCGCGGGATGAACCGGAACTTCTGGAGTACCGGATACCTTGCAGCAAGCATCAGCCTCCCGCGCTCCAAGAAACGAAACACACGCCCACCCATAGTGCTAGGATTTAGTCAAATCTATGGCTGTAGCCATAAAAATTGCATTCAAATCTATGGCTGTAGCCATAGCATGGATACAGTCATAGCTTTGACTAATACTGCTATGGCTACAGCCATAGCGTGGCAGGCCTTTGGTCCTGTTGCTTTTCTCGGCATCACCATGGCATGTGCAAGATCATCATTGCCATCAGCACCACCATGATCCCCCAACATAAAGTGTTGATCAGCCTTACTGTCTTGAACAAGCCGCGCCCCTCTGGGCGCGGAGGTTAGTGGTTCAGGCTAGGGTTTGGGTTTGGGTTAAAGGTTAGTCCCCGGAGACATCATTTTTTCTCAGTTATGGCTGGGGCAAGGTAGCAAAAAAAAGGCCTATTACAGGCTCTGTAAGGGTCGGTTAGGGTAAGAAATATATTCATTGTCAGTTAGGGTTGGGGCAAGGGAGCAAAAAAAAAATCCTTTTAGAGGCTCTATTAGGGTTGGTTGGGGCAAGAAATATGTTTATTGGGTGATAAGGGGTTGGGATAACCAGTACTAGGATAAAGCTTTCCCTCCACTTAGGGTAAGCCGCTTGCGGGTTACCCTAAGTTGAGGGAAATTGTAACCTGTTTAATAGTGGTTTAGATCAGTATGTTAATGCATTGGTTTCATCTACATTTTTAGAAGGTCAGCCGTTCAATCCTCACTGAAACCACCGCCTAGCTGTTGGGTGTCAATCACAATCACAGGTTGTCGATCATAATGATTGTTGTTCACATCAGCACCGCCATGCCCTATGGCTACAGCCATAGATTTGAATGCAATTTCTATGGCTACAGCCAAACGGATTTGACTAAATCCTAGGGCTATGGCTCACACGCCAACGCACGAGACAAGGCCGGAGGTGTATTCCTCCGACGGCTGGATCTCCCTCCCCTGCTCGTCGACCGGTTTGCGGATATCGAACGTCGCGAGGATTGAGATCATGCAGATCCACACGGACCACTGCGCCATGTCCTTCCCCGGGCACACCCGCCGGCCGAACCCGAACGCCGGGGTGGGCTCGGGGATCGCGGGGTTCAGCGAGCCGTCGGGATTCAGCCAACGCTCGGGGATGAACTGCTCGGTGTGGGCGCCGTAGACGGCTTCTTCACGCAGGATGGCCCTGGGTTCCGTCAGATGCATGCACGAGTGCTCTGGGAGTCGAGCCCACCAACTGTTTCCGATGACAGAAGCGCCGGCGGGGATGTGGTACCCGTTGTAGGTGTCTGCGGCCGTCGTGGCGTGCACGATAGCTTGCGAAAGATAATGAAAAACGGACAACCGCGGGGCGATCGACTCGACGCACCGAGTGGCGTGACGGGATGCCACCGCAGAGCCTCCCGGAGCAGCGCATCGACATACGTCACCTGATCGTCGAAGGTGGGCAGCCTGTGTCGCCCCACCACGTGATCGACCGCCGCCTGGGCCTTGGTCTGTACCTCGGGATACAGCGCCATTGCGAGGATAAATGAGGCTAGTGTCGACACAGTCTGTTGAGTGGTGTATTTTATTTAGTGCCTGCGAAAAAAGCCCGGCTTTAACTGACCGTGTCTGCCCCGGCTGAGTCCACGCAAACAGATTGGAAGTTCAGAAAGCGGAGTTGACTGTGTCACGCACCGGCTGCGCATAAAGTCAGTACCCTGCCTGGATATAATCCCTGGAAGGAACCACTGACCATACCCTGCGGAGAGGACGTCCCTGAGCACGCCCTCTTCCCTCTGCCGTTGGTCTTCAGGAAGCTCCTGGATCTCGTCCAGAACCCGAGACGCAATGCACGGTTGCAGATCCCCGGCCGCCTGAAGTAAGCCAACCATGAGAAACCGACGACTCCCTGGAAACGAGAGCAGGCCATACGCACCCAGCGCTTCTTCGCAGCCTCGAACGGGACTCGCGGCATGCTCGTCACGCAGCGGCTCCATTCGCGTGCATCCCGCAGGAACCGCGCGCCGGGGAGCCACGCGGGGATATGCTGGAGGCTTTTGGCCGGGTAAGCGTGGACGTAGACGTGGACGTGGACGACGAGGAGGGGCACGCTGCTGTGCGGTGGCTCACATCGGTAAAAAGTCGACGAGGTACGAGCCCCTGTTCCCGGTCAAGGCCATGACGTGCAGCGCCTCGGTGGAGATGTCGACGTGCGGGTCGTCCTGCGGCTTGACGTCGATGCCGTATGCGGTGGTCAGGATCACCATCGCGGCCATGCTTCACACAGACACATATATACGTCAGCAGCGAGCGCTGGAATTCCGGATCTGATGCCCACGTACTGCCTCAGATGCCGCTCGTACGCGTCCGGGGACTCGAGGAGGCCTTGCAGGAGCACGTGCGCGGCGTGGAGCTCTATGGGGCGGTGCACCGCGATCTGCGAGGGCAGGAATTCCTGCGTGAACATCTTCCGGTACGCTGGAACATCACTCTCAGCCTGGGGAAATACAGCGCGCTTTTCGGGGCCCCACCCTTCCAGGTGTGGTTGTACGGCATGAATGCCAGGTGCCAGGTAAATCCCACACTATGTCCCTCTGCATGAGGAGCTACCAGCACGTTGCGTAACAAGGACGGGCACGCACAGGTCATTGAGCATCCTGAACGCAGGCCGATCCGAGTAGATCGCAGACCGCGTCTCGAGCAGATCCTGCGCCGATCTCATCGAGTTGAGCACGATCACCGTCTCGTTCAGTAGACGGAGCGAGATGATGTCCGAGTCTGGCCGCGCAATCCGTCAGTCGAGGGCAAACACACGGAAAACGCAAACGCATCGCGCACTGTATCTCTGCGACAGCGCGAGGTACCACACCCACTCGTCCTTCTCCGGGATCTCGAACCAGTTGCCGATAATCGGGAGCCCGGGCGGCCCAGGAGGAAGTGGGGGTGCGTTTCTACGCCGCAGGACGTGGTGCACAACGAACGCGACGAGCAGCGCGATGAAGGAGTAGTAGTAAAGCATAGTGGCTCCACCGTACGCAACCTCACGACCCTGTATATACGTACCGGGAAATCACGGAATGTCGCTGTCTATGCGGAGCAGAGTAAGTGCTGTTCAGAAGCAATGATAAGCTATGCTTGGCTGCGAAAAGCTAGTCAATGCTGGCGAGAAGAAAACTCGTACCATCGGGTACTCGTATTTGGAAGTCCGATGATGACATCCAGCAGAGAAGCATAGTAAACTCGGCTCTGAGATAAGATAAACTCAAAGGATCCATAGGGTGGACGTCTCGAGGACAAGGGGTATAAGTCGGTCGTGATGACATGGGCATCAGGACGCCATCAGTCACGTCACTCAACCCACTTTTTCCTGCATCCCCAACTCCAGCCATGCCTCTGCGCCTGGACGATCTGGAGGAACTCGCTCCGCCGGGCTACGAAAGCGACACTTCAGACACCGCACTGCCGACCTGTGAGGATCTACGGCTGGACCGCCCCGTCACAAGAACACCGCGATCGGCCCATGCGAGGTAAGCACGCATGGCAGCCGCGCAAACACCCCGAGAGCGCTTCGTTCCTCTGAACCTCCCACCACAAGGAGAAACGGCCGCCCGGTGAAGGCGCTGAATAGACCTGCGCGCGCGATATGCCGTATCCTCGCGGCACACGGCTGGAGCAACCCCGCGCTCGGCGCGGTTTTCGGCGTGTCGGGGGAGACCGCGCGCCGCGCGGTGCGCAACGTGCTGTATTCGCCCCGGGACCGCGTGGAGGAGGACTACGACCGCGTCGATCCGGAGTTTCGGGTCCTGTACCCGCCTGTGGGGGGGAGCAACAACGGGTCCGACACCAAGGCCAGCAGCGCATGTGCCTGACGCAGGGGGGTAGACTCACGGCTGTACTCCAGATTGGGCCAAATTTGCGTGCGTACAGACGAACCGACCCAGCCGTCGAGGAGGACGATGACGCCGAGGATGACGAGGAAATTCAATGTCTCGGCATCGTCAGTGGCTCACACATGGTGCTGGGACCTTCGCTCTGACGACTGCCTTCTGGTCCATACAGAAGCGGAGGGGCCAAAAACCGCAACCGCCCCAGGCCATAACCGGAAACCAAGACTCTGACACCCAGCACCAGCGCCCAGCGCCCAGCCGCCTCGCCCAATTCCTCCAGTCCGTTCCCGACGTCAACCTCACGCAGCATCTTTCATTTCTCGAGTCCCAAGGCCTCAACTCCGCGAACCTGCACACCGTGGCACTCTGGCCGGCCGACGCAATCCAGCACATGATCGAAGTACTGCTCCTCGGCACCCCGCCTGCGCGCGATGGGCGGCGCGTGAACGGGCTGACCGCAACCGAGGCTGTGTGGCTTGAGGTGGAGCTCCGGAGGCTGAGGAGGAGCGTGGGTGGGCTTGCGCAGGTGCGATCTCCTCGCTCGCATGTTGCGTTGATCTGGTCTCAATCCGTGGCGGTGCGCGCCACACTTCGCAGCCGATGTCCCCGCCGTCGGGAGCGACGCTGCGCCAGTTTCTGCGCAACGTCCTTGGCCTCGATCTCTCATGCCACCACGATTTGATTGTTTCACAAGGCCTGGACGGGCACAGCATCCGCACGTTGTGCTTGGCGGAAGTTGTGCCGTTGTCGAAACTCGGGGACATGACCCCGCTAGAGGTTTTGGCTGTGGAGATAGCGAGGATTTGGTGTGGAAACGACAACGGGGCGAAGAGCTGATGCGGCCCTCCGATCGATGATGCATACCAAGTTTGTCTGGCACAACGACTCCGAATCACAATTCACTTATTTTACACCTTTCAAAATACATTCGGAGGGGGAGCATTTCAGGAGTCGGCTTGTGATTCCGAGGATCAGTGCGCGCTTGTCGCCGACTCACCTCTTCAACGGCAGCCGATCTGGAAGCCAATCGAGTTCGTTCCCGGCGCTGAGATGCATGCATTGGCCGTGTTGCAAGTCACCGGCACAGCCCACTCGTTGTGGTTACAGTTCGCAGGGGCCTACCCCAGTCAGAGTCCGTCTTCTTTCGCCGCACGGACGGGCGACTCACCCAAGTGTGGATGTTGGCGTCGCTGAGGCTGTTGAAACGGATGCTGTTGACGCCGCTGAGCGATCCGCCGCTGAGGCACCCGTTCGACGTGAACGTCCCGCTCGAGGAGCCCAACAGCGACTGGCAGTTGCCGTCCGAGAAGTACGCGATCGAGTAGCTGCTGGCGTGCGCCTGTCCCGCGGCGAGAATCAAAGTGGCTGCCGCGAGGGTCGAGAAAGAAGACTTCATCATGCTTGCTTGGACGATGAAGCTGAGGGCCACAGTAAAAGGTTGGGGCGCTTTTATGGATTGGTTGGGTCGCAGCACGGCGACAAGACCCCGGTAAGAGTTGCTCGAATGAGTCAGCTGACGCTTCTGACCCTCAATCTCGAGAGCTCTGTTACGTTTTGACAAGAGCTCTGTTCTGTTTTGACAAGGGTCTCGCGATTCTTGCACAAGTCGTTAGCAGCTAAGTGCAGTATTTAGTGCGGCTTTCTCAGAGGTTCGGGAGAGCATTCGAGTACCTGACTCACGCCGCCCTCCAAACAAGACAAGTCGTCCGGTGGTGTCAAGTCGCCGCCCCTCGAATTGGAACATCACAGCGAGGCTTGGTCGACGATGATGACTGGGTTGCAGCACGGTGTCACGTTCGTAGGGTATAAGTTGACCCCGGACACAGGATGCACATGCCGAGCAACGTCAGTTGGGAGTCTCACATCTCAACTTTCGATTCAAGCCCACACGTCACGCAACACATGCACAGAATTTACAACATACCATAGTCAACATAGAGCGTCTAACATACAGGCCCCTTCCTATTCGTAGTATTCAAGCACCAGATACGTGCCATGTCGATCGCCAATATCTCCAGCGGCGACATCTGGTGCAGATACCTCGGCGCCAACGTCACATCCAGCCGCACATGCCACATCCTCCACCCGCTGATACCCTGCGACGCCAGCATCCCATGATAATGCGAAAGATCGAGCCCTAGGACGTTGCGGAGGAAGTCCTGCAGTGTGCTCCCGGCGGGAGGGCAGATCGGCTGCTCGAGGGGGGTGCGGGTGGGGCTTAGTCAGTTGTCTTTTCGGATCCGGGGCCAACGTAGGCTAGGGTGGACGTGCACCTGTTCCAACACGACCTCCTTCCTCAGCGCGCGGATCTCGACCTCCAGCCAGACCGCCTCATGCGCCGAGAGCCCGTGCATCGGCCGCCCGTCCCTCCCCACCGGCGTGCCCAGCAACAGCCGCTCGATCGCATGCCGGATCGCGTCGTGCGGCCAGTGGGCGATGATGCGCAGGTTTGCGGAGGTGATGCCCTGGGCGTGGAACAGCGGGAGGTGCGGCTCCAGATTCGCGTCGCGGATCGAGGCCAGGAAGAGGCGCAGCGACTGCCAGCGCTCGGGCGCGGGCGGCGCGTAGGGCTAGATGCGGAAACGAGCAGTTTGGTATTAGATGGACCTGAGTCTGAGGAAGAGAGCGGGAGCGTCACCATCAGACAGTCTGAATCGGCTTTGCGCAAGGGCCTGCGTGTCGTTGGTTTGCCGGGAGAGAATATCATCGGAGGGGGTACAAAGGAGATGTGGGCTCGGGCGTCGCGCAATTTAAGCGGTTGGTATGTCGAAGGTGGCGTAGATATAAGGTCGGCCAGCACCAAGCGTAGGCGAGATGGAGAAAGCAAAGTCCAGCCCAAGCGCGGATCTAGAATCACGCTCCCAAGCCACAACGCGCGCGCGGATTGCCATTCGGGATAAGAGATTCATCCATTCACCAAGAATGATGCGAGAGATAGCAGCGTCTCTCCACAGCGTCGCATTGTTTCGCTGGAGACACGACAGAGGAGGACAATGTCTCGTCCAAAAAGGAAACTTCTGAAGCTGCGATCGGCTGTCACACAGGCTGACACAGCCCCCCCATCGCCCATTTGTGGCGATCGAAATCAGCTGATCCCTACCACGTGATCGAAGTGGGCCACTTCCACACCGCTCATCTTACCTCATCCGAGGAGCATGTTTTTGCCTCTCTTGTCGGGACCGCCAATACGTCCGAAGACCTGGGGAAGCTCTAACAAGTCTCCCTACCAACCGGCTATGAATCGCATCATCGCATGGCCCGTGATCGCGAGCCGCCTATCATTCTCTTTCCGAGTCCCTTCTCTCTTCTCTTCTTTAGACATCCGTTAACGCGCTCCCTGAATCATTTTTCCTGTCCTCCTTTCCCTTCTTCCTTTCCCATGCGGACAAGTGCGACTTGGAACAGGAACAGTTATGGACGACGCTGAGCTCATGCTGGAACTGTGCGTGATCTGGCACCCGCTCGTGTGATCCAGCTGGGGCGTTGAAAAAGGGCTATCTAGGAACAGCAATTACTCACTCAGCGCCATCTCCTTCGGTTCGTCGACCCTTCATCTCTGCTCCGTATTCCCGTGCTCACAGCTCGCGCCAGCGATCCTCTTCTACGACTACTTCCTCACGCTCCAGAGCGAGATCGAGCGATACTGGCCGCGGGCTCGGCACAGATGGAGCTGGAACTGGGCGTCGATCCTCTACTTCGCCAACCGCTACGGAACTCTGCTCGGCAACGTCCCTGTCGTCGTGCATTACCTCTGGAGTGCTGAGCCCACGGCCCACAAGGAACAAGTGAGCGATCCATCTCATTGCCATTGTGGGTTCTGTCTCCTCACGCACAGGACGCAGATGTAAGCTCGCCTACGTTTTCTGCACCCGCGATTCGATATGCATCCAGATGCCACCTACTGGAGAGCTACCACGAGTACTACATCGTCGGCTCGCAGGTCATCGTGGGAAGTGCGTGAAAACTGGGAAGTAGTGGGTGACACATGATTGAGCTCTGCCCAGCGATGCTTCTCCTGCGGACGTACGCGCTCTACGGCCAGAACCGATGCGTGCTGGGGTTCCTCCTATTGGTCGGGGCGGCTGTAGTCGTCTGCGGCGTGGTGCGTCGCTCACACCGCTTCCCTGGCACACCCGGCTGAACGGGCTCTTCTCAGTACGGCACCGTCTTCCTCGGCAGCCCCGGCAGCCACGAAGCAAACATCCCGCTCGAATTCGGCTGCGACTATCCCATCAACCGCAAACAGTGCGTGTCCCTAGTCGCATTCACTCTGTCCACATCGGCTCGGCCGGGCTGACACGGCGTGCAGGGCCAACGGCGCGATGTTCGCCTGGGCCGCCATGGGCGTCTTCGACGTCGTCATCTTCCTCCTGACGGTGTTCCGCGCGATCCGGATGCGGGCCCGCGGGGACCACATGTGCTTGCTGACGCTGCTTCTTCGCGACGGTGTGTGTTTATGAATTTGCGCCCACGCGCGTGTCGCGTTGCATCAGCTGACGGCGCGGCCCTCGCAGGCTCGATATACTTCGGGTGGGTGCTTCCTTCCTGATGGTCTGCAGAAGCCGCGGAGATTTGACCGCGGAGCTTGTAGGGTCATGGTGCTACTCAATCTGTCGAATCTGCTGACATATGTTGTGAGTGTCCGAGACTGAGCCCGAGCATCATGGTGAGGCTGATTTGCCGTCATTTAGTACGCTCAGGTCTGCCTCCCTCTCGACGCTCGATTTCAAATCACGCTTATTTTTTAGAAGTACACCCGCGGAGTAGCCACGACATTCATGAACATGTGCGTCTCACTCCTCGACTTTCCCGCTTGTGCCTGATGTCGCACTCTGACGCACGCAGAATGTCCTCGGTCATGATCTCTCGTTTGATGCTGAACATCCGCGACCCTGCCTTGTCGTCTCCGATTCTGGGCCACTCCGACACGCCGTGCGATACCACAGAAATAACGAGGGGTGCTATGTTATCCACGGTTCTGTCGGCAGAGGAGAGCGAAGGAACCGGTTCGGTTTGATCGCTACAATAGTCATTCCTGTCATTGCGTCACCTCAATCATTCACAAGCTCCCCAGTTCTGCCAAAACACATTTGCCGGGTCTCTGGTTATTGGGCCAGATCAACCCAGAGGCAGAACAGTGACCAAGCCGAGAAAAGATCGGAGCCTTTGCTGTTGTCCGGTCGACGCGTCGTGCACTGGTGCATGGGGTGAAGTGAAGTTTGCGCAGATCCTTACGTTTACGTAAGTATCCGCTCGGACATTCGGACTACTCGATATTCGGAGCCGCAGACTCGGCTCTCATCACTGTCACGTCATGTAAGGCCCCCAAATGTAATTGTGCGCGCTGAAAGAGTCAACGGGGGGATTACCTCGGCGTGAGATCACTTTCTTATGAGTGCCCGTGGAACAAGCGTCAACGCGGCAGACATCCAACGGCCGTCCAAGCTATTGAGCTGTGGAAGATATCGGCGTGCATTTACTGCAATGGGCTGTGGGCATCGTCCGCTCCTGTTGAGTATGGAAAGAAGTCGGGATATGAGAATACTGTAGATTTGTTGAAAATTATAGATGAAGACTGAACCAGGCTCAAGGGTAAGTATGGAGGCCCGGAACTATATGCTGATAGGCGGGCCTCCGTATCATTGATATTGTTTCGTATGGAGGCCAGGAACTACATGCTGATAACCGAGACCATTTGACAGTGATCCGTGTTCGGCCATCCAAGTCAAATGTTCTGGACCCCGTACACCATGGCTCTTCGCGCTACGGACCTGAAACTGTGCACCATGACGATTGTACATTATCATAGTGTCTACGTGCTAATAAAATCGTGTATGGGACATTTCTTGGTGTGAGATCGAGTCCTAGCGGACAAGCTACCATTGATCCGCGTTCTCGAAATCTTCCGGGCTTTCCTCGTCTGAGAACCAGGCAAATAACTCTTCATCGTCACCTGCAGGCCCACCCACATCCGGCTCAATATTATCGATCATAGAATTGAGCCTATTGTAGTGAATATCGTCTAAACATGATTGAGTAATGCTGCAGACAATAGCGGAGGGTACATACCTAAGCCGTCACCGCCGTTCACACCACCCATGTAATATGAACCATCTTGTCCAATTACACCTTCTCCACCACGCAGTTCTTGAAGACCAGCAAGCAGTTCTACCTCTCCCTCGTAGTTGTCCACTGCTTGAGTCAATGTGTAGCCCCATTTTTCGTCAGCGCTGGCTTCTACCCCATGAGCCTGGTCAAGCTGTCGAAACTTCGACAGAAGCTGGAGGTAGACGTCCCAACAACTACCTCGATCGATCACAGGGGAGCCAATTTTCACGTAGAAGTCGGAGATGATGTGGTGGAAGTCAGGTGGCACCAATTCGAAGATTTGCAGTTCAGGGGGAGCGTACAACTCGCGCACCATCTCAATGGCTGCAGGATCAACTTTGATCTGAAAGCAAGCATCAGAAGATAACTGAGACTAAGTGTAGACGTACTTTGAAGTCTAAAATCGCATAGTCCTCAGGATACTCGAACATGTGCATGGGGACACCGTTTGGGAGAACTTTGTTTCGATCGCGGCGCTTCCGGGTGTTGTTGACACGATTCCTGTAAGCATCGAGTTCGGCCTGAAGCCAGGGAATGAAAACCCATCGAAATACCAGCCTATGATTCAATTAAATAAAGCAATTTTTGAACAAGTCATCGACACTTACGCCTCGAGGAGGATCTTGGGATCATACCACCCCTCCAGAAGACCGATATCAAGAAGGTTCTCAAATCCTGGTGTAAACCGTCGACGCAGTTGGCTCCAGGCAATCTCTGGAGTGATATTCTTCTTCTCTCGCATCCAGCGATGCTGTAGCTGGCCGCGCAGATCAGGATCTTGATATTGCCGAATGAGAGTGTGACCATTAGCGACAGCAGTGTTCTCATTACCCGGGTCACTCTGCATGACCAGGGGCATAACTAGAAACAAAAACAGATTAGTTACAGGTTCGGAGTTTGTGAATGAGACGTACAACCAAGCGCCTCAATAACATTGAGATAGTACTTTAGAATGAGTCGGGGATTACTATTGTTCCACCAAACCTTCATCCAGTGGATCACGCCAATGAAAGGGTCGATTCCGGTGTGAAGCGCGAGGCCGAATTTGTACTTCCATTTATCGTGCTGGTCCATAGCCCAGAGATCATTTGAACCCGCAGCCCAGAACCGCTTGCGTCGGAAATGGCCCCGTCGACGTTCTCGAACTTGCATCGGCTCATGGATATGAAAGTACTCCATGAGCACTGGCCTGCATCAAGTGTAATCGGCGAGAGGAAGGAATAGTAAGTAATAATAGAGACAAACCTTGATACATGAATCTTTTCTTCAAACTTCAGCAAGTTGACCATTTCACGCCCACCTGCCTTTGGATACATGGCACGAAGTTTGACAACGGCAGCATGGATTGAATCAACAGTATGGCCTTGCTTCCGAGTGCGACGATACCCAAGCCCATCGCGAATTTTGCGGAATGTTGCAATTCTGAAATATAAGTGAGTACACAGAACGAACAGACAAAGTGGGAGAAATACTCAAGGCCATATTTGTTAAGATCAATGTGATGCTTCTTGAGGAGTTCGAGAATCTCCAGGTCGTTCTTGCCCATGTTCCAGTACTTGTCGATGTACTCATGGAGATACTCGGCAGATGCTGAAACATAGGTTGGAAGAAATATAAATAAGGAATAGGACTTGAATCGACTTACGAACTTGCTTGTGCTGATTTGGCATGAGTCGATGTAACAAGATGAGGGTTCAATCGCTAGCAGGAGGGGTGAAGTGTCCAAGTTTCATGATTTCTAAGGAGAGTTTTTATACATAGGCGTTGGATCCCGGCTTTGTAAGGCTTACAGAGATTACAAAGAGCACTACGACAACCTTCACAGTGAAGTTGGCCATTCATGAATGCAATGCACAGAAAATACCTCTACGCGAGCGCGAGGTGTTGGGATCGAGCTTAGATAGAGAAAATCGACCATCAAACACCTCTACGCGAGCGCAAGGCATTGGGATCGAGCTTAGATAGAGAAACTCGGCCATAAAACACCTGTACGCGAGCGCAAGGTGTCGGGATCGAGCTTAGATAGAGAAACTCGGCCATAAAACACCTGTACGCGAGCGCAAGGCATCGGGATTGAGCTTAGATAGAGAAACTCGACCAGAAAACACCTCTACGCGAGCGCGAGGCGTTGAGATCAAGCTATGATCAACCACGGTTGATATGTGCATCAGCTGTAGATCTGATGTTCCTGCCTGCCCTGCCGCTTGCAGGTGTGGTACTTCATCATCTGATGGTCGGGATCGCACTAAGATAGAGAAATTTAGCCAAAAACAACCGCTACGCGAGTGCAAGGCACCGGGATTGAGCTTAGATCAACCACAGTTGACACGTGCATCAGCTGCAGATCCAATGCTCCTGCCTGCCTTACTGCCTGCAGGCGTCCTGCTTCATCATCTCATGGAGCCTCTCGGACTTTTTACAGAAAAATAAGCCGACCAGGATCGGTGTACATAGTATATAAATTGTGTCGGCAGAGATCTTACAATTGTTGAACTCCAGCATCCCATAAAGCAACTTGTTTGATCCTTTTGCGCATGTCCAATCCGACCGTTATGGCCTCCTTTACAGAGGAGGGCGCTTCTGCGCCCATTCGTTGCGCTAGTGAATCCGACTGCCGTGGAAACCAATGGATCGTGCCCTTGGAGCCTCGCCACAAAATTCTCAACAAGAATCCCAACTTCCCAGACCGTCTCGTCTGTCAACCTTGCTACGATCATTATCGAACAAAGTCCTCCTCTAGTCATGGTCGTATGTCTTTCACCTTCTATAATTTCGTGTTCAACTAACCCATTTGGCCAGGATTGTCCCAATCCGAGTCTGCTCGTTCCGCACATGCCCGTTCCACGCAAGAGCGTATAACTCCTGGTGTACTGCAGGATGCGGCTGTAATCCAGCGTCAAAACATTGATGCTCGTACAGGAAGTAAGCTCCCCTTTCAGTTTTTCAATGTTCTATTCTGACTGCGGTGGCAGAGAAGGTTCCGAAAGCAATTAATCAATTGGCTGCTGTTCCGCGTCGTGGATTCATGGGCCCTCCTGATTTTATTCCTGGTGTGTTCCTTCGATCTTATGTCGTTCAGATCATACTGAACTGTGCTAGGCCCCCACGTATCCGTTCCAAATGCTGGAAATTCTGGATCATCTGGTTCTGGTTCCCTGTCGTTCTCAAGCAAGGGTTACTCTGCCAATCACGCTCAATACGGCGCTGCTCGAGCAAGTTGGGCTCAGAATGCATATGTTGGTGTTGCACCAGAGGTCATTTCAATCCTCATTAGTGTTCGCTATGAGGCTCCGGGGAAACCAAAGGGCGAGAGTTTTGGGGTATATTGCCTCAACCTTCTGATAAATTGACGCTGAAATCTCTGCCAGGCTATCAGTGAGGGCGTCATGATTGATGCTAAGTCTACCCCGCGATCGATTATGCAGACTGTGTATGACCAGGTCTATCCAAAACTCAAGGCTAGAATCGATCAAGATACCGACTGCAGGTTCGAATTCAAAACTACAAACTTCACTGTGCGAGACGTTGCTACATGGATCTCTTTAGCTGGGCAACCGCTTGAGCAGCCATACTACTACGCTAGCTGTCTCAAGCCTGGTCGCACAAAGCTCGAGAGAGAACGACATCTTCTTGTTTTTGTTCGGCCTGCTCCCATTGGGATTGCGCTTGTGATTGACCATGAGGAGTGGATGCGTCTGCAGGAGTTCATGGATCAAATGCATGTATGTCATGTCGCTCTCCGCTTCCTTTGTATTATTATCTAAAATGCTTACAATAGATTTCTCAAGACGTCGAAGATGAAGAGTTTCGTGAGCAGCCAGTGAAGAAAGCTCCTAAGAAACCTGCAAAGAGGCCCATAGGGACAGCGAGCAAGGTATCTATTTTTGAGTTCAATTTCTATTACTTAGCCGGTTTACTCGAAACAATTCAGGTTTCAAGTAGTGATGCCCACCCCGGCGCATCATCTAATACTCAGAGTTCTACTTTGGATGCTCTTGAAACCAATCGGCGTATCACGCATAGCGCCTCTAAATTAGCTGCCACACCTTCTCTCAACCAAAGCAGGCAATCGGAGGAGCCTTCTCTCCAATTTCCAGCTGCCGACGCTCCTAGTCTGATTACATTCACCTCGGGCACTTCGCGCTCTGGTCTTGAGTCTTCCTCCTCTGTTGTAGGTGTTCTGGGTGGCGCTTCTTGGTCATTGAGCAAGAAGGTACGTCTTCGAATTTCCTGCCTGATCGTTACTCACATCTCTAGGAACGTCCCATCACGCCGCCAAATCCGACAGTTTGCAAACGCTCTGCGGCCAAGTATCGCTCTCCTGATCAACGTATTGTGAAGAAAGCACTGACCGTTGGTGGATCCTTGAAGAAGGCCGGAAACACACGTGCGTTTATTCTACCTGGTCTTTTCACTTTCCTATCTTATGCTTCTTAGCCCTCCACACGACTGAACAAATCGAATTCTTCCGAATCAAATCTGTTCCCTTTCACGAGTTGATCGAGCAACCAGACTTTTTTTCCTGCAAACTTGACGCAGTGGAGTACGGCACTCTCTCTATGGTTGCCTCAGATCTGCCTCTCGGCATTGGCAGTTTTAAATCCGCTCACAATGCGCGTTTGAATTTGCATGTTCTGTCTTCGGGTAACATACTGGGTTGTGTTCCTAACCAGCACGTTGCTGCAAAGAGGATGTTTGAGTCGTGGAGCGAGGATCAGACGCGTCTGGAGAGATACAAGCCATCCCAGGAATATCTTCAGACTATTCGGGAGGCCAATATCATGCTCTGGGCCGTCTCACTCTTCGATTTTTGCTACTCATTCATTCAAAGCTTCATCGAAAAAAATGGCCCTCCACCAGCGGACTTGACGATATTCGACATCCGCTTCGTCGAAGCTGGCGTTGCTCTTGTTCACGATTCGAGTGCCCGTGGACATAGTGTCAAGGACACCTCCTCCTTGGTCCGATCCTTCATCATCGAGGAAATAATCACGCCAACTGGTACATCGTCACTTTTGAGCTATTTCCCTATCCTGATCTCCCTTTCCTAGAAACAGACCAGGCCGAAACATTCCTCAAATTCGTCCATAACAACCTTGCTGCTCCGACTCCGTTTATTGTCCGCAACACTGTAAACTATGCAGTTGCAGAGTTCCTGTGCTTTACGCAACACATCCAGTATGAGAAATCTGGAGGGACCGTCTTTCTCTCAGATCTTCAAGGCAAGTCCTCTCACGTGTTTGGGCCATGTTCATGTGTTGATTTATTTACCAGGTTCACCTACACGACTGAGTGATCCACAGATCATGACAACTCCGTGAGCCTGAATTGTTCTCTTCTTATCGTCTTAATCATTGTGCTAACGCGGCGCATAGCGAAATCAAAGAGCGCATTTTTGGAGGTGGAAACATTCGATCAGCATTCAAAGAGTTTCCTCACCAGCACAACTGCTCTCGATACTGTACTTTCTTCAAGCTGAAGCCGTTTTCACGTGACCACTTGGATGCTTGAAGCTGCACTTCCGCTAGGACTCGATCTCACACCAAGAAATGTCCCATACACGATTTTATTAGCACGTAGACACTATGATAATGTACAATCGTCATGGTGCTGACGAGCGTGGATACACCCTGGCCCCGCAATCAATTGATCACATGTCACATGGTATGACGTAGCAAGCTGCTTGGTCTGACATAAGCAGCCACAATTGATCTGGCACGTGATGACAAGCGTCGGGCCGGAATCAAATTTCGGAGTTCATTCCCTCTTTGTGGCTCTAACACCTTCATTTCGGCGAAATTCAGCGCTGACTAAGTAGTAAATTAACACAGAGCTCAATGGTCACCATATCAACAGGAGGTTCAATTTATTTATCTCCTTGGACTTAATTCACACTTAGTATAAAAAACCTGTAGTACAGTACAAGAAAAACAAGAAATCTTCTTCACCCACTCTCTAGAGTCTAAAGCGACCTCCCAGTGCTTTCTATCTCGCTTTCTCGGCGCCTGCTTCTGCATTATTTTCCCAACATCGCCCCCAAACCCCCATTTCGTGCTACAGACATACATATTGATCTCCCCGTTGTTCTATCGTCCTCTCGTCCTGTCCTCCGTCGTCATTATCGTCCCATCGCCCGTTCTATTGTACCTTTGCTCCCCCTGTTGCTCACTGCTGCCCCCACCCATTTCAGTTGAGCCTATTTTCCTCGAGCCTGACCTTGTTTAGGATCAGAATCCCACACACAAATACTGCGCGAGCCAGAGCCGCAGCTCACTCCCCTCGACCTCCGACTAGTCCTGTGTCTCTCCCCGTATGGCTGCGCGCTCATACGCTCCGTAGGCGTGCCAGTGCACAGTTTCAGGTCCGTAGCGCGAAGAGCCGTGGTGTACGGGGTCCAGAACATTTGACTTGGATGGCCGAACACGGATCACTGTCAAATGGTCTCGGTTATCAGCATGTAGTTCCTGGCCTCCATAGTTTCGGCCGTTGATGCTGATCTGATTGACTGCTTCTGAGACCCCATAAGCCTCGCTAGGCATACACGAAATCTGTGAAGTGGCATTTCTCTTCCACGGCGTACAAAAGGGCCTGACACCATTTGAAATAAGAAAGTTTTGGATTAATTAACATGCTGTGAAGCAGCCGCTATCGGGATGGATCCCAATGACTCATCAATAGCGCGTCATTTGTGATGCTAAAAATCTTGCACATTTTGTAGTACTGAAACGCATTGGAAATCCATTTCTCAATGAAACCAAAACAGTAGCTAGATAGTATAAAAGCAGAGTGCCTCCTGCTATAAGGGTGACGAGCAGTGATGCGCCCAGCCCTGAAATCAATCGATCACGTGCACTGAAAGATCTAGTGGATTTGTCAGCGAGCTCATCAAGGTGGTTGCACGTGATCATTCTGATCATCACTGGATGCCTCCGGCGGGGTCTGGCACGTGATGACAAGCGTCGGGCCGGAATCAAATTTCGGAGTTCATTCCCTCTTTGTGGCTCTAACACCTTCATTTCGGCGAAATTCAGCGCTGACTAAGTAGTAAATTAACATAGAGCTCAATGGTCACCATATCAACAGGAGGTTCAATTTACTTATCTCCTTTGGATTTGATTCACACTTAGTATAAAATACCTGTAGTACAGTACAAAAAAAACAAGAAATCCTCTTCACCCACCCTCTAGAGTCTAAAGCCACTTTCCAGTGCTTTCTATCTTGCCTTTTCAACGCCCACTACCTCGTTATTTCCCCAAACAGCTCTCCATAACTCCTATTTTGTGCTACAGTCCTACATATTGGTTCCCCTTGTTGTTCTATTGTCTCATCATCCCATCGCTTGTCCCCATTGTTGTCCTATTGTCCTAGACTTGTCCTCCATCCCCCCTTTTGCTCACCACTGCCCCTGCTCATTTCAGTTGAGCTCATTTCCTCGAGCCTGACCTTGTTTAGGATCAGAATCCCACACACAATACTGCGCAAGCCAGAGCCGCAGCCCACTCCCCTTGACCTCCAACTAGTCCCTTGTCTCTCCCCGTACAGCTGCGCGCTCATACCCTCTGTAGGTGTGTCAAGGGATATATTACCTTTTACTTGAATCCACTATGGTGCGCGCAGCTTAGTCACCATCAAAAGTGCACTAGCATGCAAATCGGGTCAGGCAAAACCAAAATTTTGACTATTACATCTGGGTCTCTGAGCAAAACGCTCTGAAGGAGAAGATGTCAAAGGCTCTTATTTCTGGCTTGGCAGATGATCAGACACTGGGAGCACCATATGATACAGTGGATGGACACATAGCGGTGTGGATTGGAGACACGGGGACTCGCAGTTTGAGGTGCAAAAATTCAACTTGACCAAATACAAATTGCACCGGTGGATCTCAGAATGCGCCGCAAGGGCTTTCGATATATGATACATTTGTTTTTGTAGGCTACGCCAAATTGGGGGATGTCAAAATCCCATTACTCACTCAGTTGGACAGGTATGGGCAATCCCTCTTGAGAGATCACTCCTCTCATTAAAAGGAAGTGTTTTTCAAGAGGAAAAAAAAATCGGGCTAGCGGTACAGGTGTCTATAGTGTCTTTGTGTTCCTAGAGACCCAAAGGTTCTGAATGTCTCTCAGTAATTCAATTTTATTGGGTATTGTTTGACCGATAATAGAGTTACTGGGGTATTTGGACTCGAAGTGCGTCAATTTCTATAATTCAAAGAATTACTTTTTCGAGACAATGTGAGACAATGTAAAGGGTTGAATACCCTAGCCGGAGCGAGATCGAGGCAGCAGTGAGCCCGGAGATGCCAAAATGAAAAAAGAATGCTGATTTTGAGTACAGAACATAGAGCTTTTACAAAATGAGTCTAGAGATAAGACCAGTATTGAATTAAATGTAAAACAGTCAGTACGTCAGCAGGGATGATGAGCGCAGCACGAAGCGACTGCCAGTTGGGGAAATAGGGCCAAGGGGAGTGTTCGAGGCGGAGAGAAATAGAGCAGCCAAAGTGGAAATTTGAGCTATAGCACGGCCCAAGCACATCCAGAACTAGAACGTTAATGTCTTTAAGTGTCAGAGGATGGCTAATCCCGAGCTCACAGTCTAGGGTCGAGCAGAACAACAGCGAAAGGAAAGAGAGCATGAGGGATTTGATTGTTGATTGCATCAGCCCTGCGTCGAATTGTGTCTGTCCCCGATGGTCATATCGCGTTTTTCGTGGGTAGAAACATGTGCGAAGCGTTTCAGGGGAATGGTTACATGTTACAGCATGTATAAACTTAATTACAGATGCCCTTGCTCCAAAGTTGCTTGAGCTTGTACCGTAGCATACGTGATCCTTGGATGCATGAGCAGGCGGTGTTTGGGGTCTGAGAAATCTGAATATGATAAGATCAACTATCAATCACACGGAACACGAACCTTTGAGATCGGGATGCTCGCTTATCAGCATATAGTTCCGGGCCTCCATAGGTAAGGCAGATTTCAGCCAGAAAAAAAAGACAGCTATTCAGATCATACTTAACAGACACGTATGGATCCATCATAATTCATAATGCATAATTCATACTTTGTAAAAACACATCTACACCTTCAGATACTGCCACTTGGCCGTACTTTTCGACAACTCGAGCGAAGCCTTGAAATCACCCTCCCTCTGCTCAGGAGTACGCGCAAACCGCGGGTCGGCATCCACATACTGATACTGGTCGCGGAACGTCTTCGCACAGTGCACCGCCTCGAGCACCTCCTCGCTCAGATCCGCCTCGACGCCCCACTCGAGCGGGACCTCGTACAGCTCCGTCGGCTCGAGGACCGTGATGTCCCCCATCGAGAAGTTCGGGAACGACACGGACCGGTGCAGCCGCCGGATGCGCGCCTCGCGGGACTCGGGCGCCAGCGTCGCGAACGTCGGGCGCGGCACGGCGATGTGCTCCACCGGCAGCGGGGGGAGCCGTTTGTTGCGGTTCACCGACGCGAAGGAGGCGGGGATCGCGAGGTGCGAGTTCGCGGCGAGCCCGTCGGCCAGGCGCTCCAGCCGCGCTTGCTCGACCAGCTCCGGCGTGAGGGGACCGAGGGCGGCGGTGCTGTCGGCGGGCTGCGGGTGCGCCGGCGAAGTGCCCCGGCGGTGGAACAGCACGTTCACTCGGCCGCGGAGGCGCGCGGTCAGGCTTTGCTTCGCGGTGCCTTGGCGAACGGACCCGATCCACTGCACCGAGTCGTCCGGTGCGGCGGTGAACTCTGCATCGCGTCGAACAACGCGCAGAGAGCTGGTGGTCCGAGCGGAGGAGGTCGAGCGGATAGTGTTGGTCACGGTCACAGCGCGTGGGCGTTTGGGATGGTGGGCACGCGGGGGATCGGCGATGCGCACGTTGGGCAGTGCCATCGGGACAGCAAACTGTTGGAACTCGGTCGCAGAAGCGTCGGGGTTCATCTCGGAAGTCGGGCGCGAGCGCACGTAGACGGCCCGGAGGGACGATGTGGGCGAGTGGGGCGGGTTGACTGTGAGGTAGTCCATTGCGGCAGACAAAGTTGAGCATTCGAAAAAGTGCCGGTCTTATAACACACGGCGGGCGCAAAGCGTCTCCCCTTTCGGATATCCATGTCACCATGGGCTTGAACCATTGTTCTCAGACTCAGTCGGCCCGGCAAAGCGCGGCCGAGAAGCGACGCTTTCCAGACATTCAGCGATGAGACTAATGCGATGGAGAAGCATGTACAAACCAAGAGAACAATGAAGTAGCGCACACTGCCCTCTATGGACGCTCCTGAATTCATGACACCCCCGATCACCCACAATGGCCATCAGAAGGGTCCGATCTTCTTCCTTGACCATTTATGGACAATGCAGAGAGGTCTCTCGTCTTCTTTTGAGTAAGGCCGATGGCAGTCGTTGGTGCGCATCAATGAGGATGAGGGGGAAGATTGCTCGTCTTGGACACGTAATCTGCATAAGTTCTCCCCCATCCAGTTAGCAGGCGCCCGGAAGTGTTGGGAAGCTCCCCATAAGCCGTGAACAGTCCAACGACAAAGAAAACGTGGCGAAAATGATGTTCTGTGACTTGCAGCAGAATTCCAGGCAATTTACGATGGTGCGATAGAATCTATCGAGATCTTAGCGTCAATGAATCCAATCAGCTCGAGAGCGACTGCATTTTTTGCCAAGTTTTTCGAAATTTCAAGTTCAGACAATCTTATAAATTCCTGCTGGCGCCCGATCACCAAAAATTTGGATAAACCAGACTCTACCAACAAGTTGCGACAACGCCCGTGAGCACGGACACCAGCACCACCCCCGACACCCACCGCCCCTCAAGCCGTCGTCCAGAGCCAGAGACAGAACCAGTTGCAGCGGGCCTACCAGTCCCCGACGGCTCCAGAGAAACTGATAGGGACAGCGACTGCGACGCCACCGGTCTCTGGTCCTGTGCGCACCGGGCGACAAGATCTGCACCCTCGCTCAGCGGATCTGCGATGCAGCATGAGGCGGGATAAACGTACCGCTGATGACGCCCTGCCCGGCACTCTGCGCCAACGTGCTCGGGGCGGTCCCGACGACGCAGTCTATGCAGAGCGCGAAGCTGTGCGCCGCCGGGTCCGTGCACAGGCAGGTCAGATTCGTCGCGCATGTCTGCGTTTGATGAGTGTATGCTTTCGGGACTCGAGGAAAGTGAGGTAACCAATCACCTTTTCAGTTTCGAAGATGGGCGTGCACGTCTCGAGGCACGTGGCGGGCACGCTGCTCGTGTTGACGCTCATCTGCGGCGTGAGAACATCGCGCGCGCGCACGTCTGGCGTTGCGAGATCCGAGGATGTGTCGTTGCTGCTGATGCCGATTTTCACAGCATTGGCTGCACGGACGTGAGGAACTGGCCAGAGGAAAGAAAAAAGGCAGACAGCTGCGCACCAGATTGCCCTCCCACCAACACCAACATCGCCGCTGCAACGGCCAACACTTTTCGCGAGATTCGGGCCGCTTGAGAACGACCACGGTTTCCACAGCTAGCAGGCATGGTAAAAGCAGAGAATCGCTCCTCAAAGAACCACCAGAATGTACGAATGAGACGCGGTGAAACGACGGGGGCAGCCCAGCCAGCCCGGAGCGAAAGACGAAAGACAAAGAAGAGGGGGAAAAACGCGGGGCATCGAGTCAAATAAGAGATGCAGTAGAAGGTTGCCGATGGCATTTCCCGCGGTAGATACGCGGCACTGTTTCCCGCCTTGGAGTGCGTTTCAGCACCATCGACGGGAGCAGGGAGAACGTCAAAAAGTGATGGCGTCGCAGTGAGGCTGTGCTATATGTCATTCACGAATTGAGCATTCGGTGAATTTCAGATGCCCACTTTGTTCATGAGATGTCTACTTTGTTCATGAGTCTCCAAAAGCCTATTGAGAAGGAGATCTAGACCCAACAACAACTGACGGTGCCAAGCTCTCCTATCTGATATTCTCAGAACTGTATCATTCGGGCAGCGAAGAGTTTACGGTGCGTACTGAACTTCCTTCATGAAAGTACTGCGCGTTGATACCAATGTTACATGTTAATATGATCCCAAGACTAACCACTAAACCGATTCTCCGTGCACACCCTCAGTCTGTTCATCTTCCACGGCTCTCCCTTGCTCGTTATCACTGTGCTCCACACTCTGCACTGCGCGCGCCGCAAACGGATTAAAGCCGCCCATCTTCGCCATCTTCTCCATCACGCGCCGCTTCCGGGCCGCCTCGTCTTCTTCCTCCTGTTCTTCATCGACTCCCCGCTCTCGTTCCTCCGCTTTCTCCTCGTCTCGAGCCGGTTCCCTCTCCTCCTGTGACTCTTTCCTCGCCCCTGGGACCGGACGCGCCGCGAAGGGATTGAAACCACCCATCTTCGCCATGCGCTCCATGACGCGCCGCTTACGGGCCGCTTCCTCGTCCTCCTCTGGCTCATCCTCCGCATTCTCCGCAGGCTGATCTGCCTTTGGCACCGATTGCTGGGCCTGATCGCTTTCCCCACTCGCTCCCGCGCCCTCGTCGACCGGCACCTGCGACTGGACGTGTTCGACAGCGGGTGAGGTGACGTCACTGTGCACGTGCAAGTCCTCCGCTTGAGCGATGTGCTCATCCTTCGGCGCGTCCACGGTTTCAGCAGCCACCGCAGGCACAGAGACGACCGGAGAGACCTGGAGCGCTGATGCAACGGGCGAGGACGCAACGGGCGAGGGAGGTGCGGGCTCGACCGTGGCTGTTGTCACATGTTCGTCCACCGCTGGTATGGAAGAAGAGACATGGTCGCTTGCCAGAGATACAGGCGAGACCAGAGATGTCTGAGCCATGGGTTCCTCGATTGATGCAGGTGGAGGAACCTCCGGCAGTTTGGGGGCTGGGTGTTTCGCTGATTCAGAAAGCGCTTGCGGAGGAGCTGAGACTTCCTCGACCGCATCCTTGTATTCGTCCTCGTCACGATCTGCCTCCTGAGGCGCAATTCCTGAAGGCTCTTCTACTGAATGCTCGATTTTTTTCCGTTCCATCGCGTCTGGCTGGTTATGCACGGCAGCAGGAATGACTTGCTCGTCCGCTTGGATAGATTCGGCCTCGGGTTCCGCAGTGAGGGGAGGGATCTCCGGGACATCTAGAATCTGCGAGACCGTGGTCCTCACGTCAGGAGATCTCTGGACCTCTTCGTCCATCAGCTCGTCTGCACCCTCGGCCTCGACCTCGACTTCAGCAGCGGGGACCGTGTCCGAGTCACTGAGAACCGGGACATCCACCACTCCCAGCTCTTCGACATCGCCAACGGCCGCATCGGCATCTACCTCAGGAGTGTCGGCGATACTGATAGCAGCAGGAGCGACCAACATCGAGGGAACCGGAGATTTCTCCTTCTCCGATTTCTCCGTGACTGGCTCTGCCGAATGAGCTGGGGCATGAGAGACATCCTCAGCAAGCGTTTCCTGCTTTTCAGGGACAGCAGCGACTTCTCCTAGACTTGGTTCCGCGTTCTTTCCATCTGCGCTCTCTTCCTTCACGATCTCGGCCACATCGTCTTTGTCGGCCGGATCAACTTTTTCCACATCGTCTACGACAGGAGGAGGCATAGGCGATGGCGCGCGTTTCTTTCTGGGAGGAGCGGCACGTTTCGGTGCAGCAGGCAGCGGCATTGCCATGGGGGCCGGTTTCAGCGACGGCGATGGGATCTGGACTGCGACAGGAGCTGGAACTGAGGCTGAGGCAGGAAGCTCTGGAGGAGTTTGAGAAGGCACGCCGTTGTCGGTTGGAGGAGCACAAGTAGATGATAGAGTTGGGGACGAGGGCAGGACGTCTTGTGGCGCGGGTGCGGTTGCTAAAGAAGAGGCTTAGAAGATGTGTAGTATAGCTGTAACATGTCGGGCACGCACGGGAAGTAGATGCACTCTCATGCCGCCTGAGCTCTTGCTCTTTGGTGACGATTGGATCCGTTTGAGTGGTCGGCTCTGTCGCTGTCTCCGCTTGCTTTACTTCGGAATCTGGCACGGACCCTTCGACGGTCTCGACCTCGGGTACTACATTTGGGTGAGATAACACATTGCACTGTGTCCTCGGTCCCATGGACAAACCTTCTTGCTCCTTCACTTCCGGCTCTCTTGATCCCTCTTCCTTCCTCGTCTGAGCATCTTCGATATCCTCTTTCTTCGTATCCTCCTCAGATCCCTTCTGCTCGTCATCCTGAACCTTCTGCGCCTGATCAGAGCTCGCCTTCTTAGCCCCCACAGGCCGCGGCGCGCCGAAAACCGGCGGTCCCATCCCAACGCGCGACCCGCCGAGGCGCGACATGCGTGCGGCAATCGCGGCTCGACGCTCACGTTCCAGTTCCTCAGGGTCCCGTTCGCTTTCATCCACATCAGTATCGCCCGCGCCAAGATCGTCGCTCTTCAGGCCCGCTTTCTCAGTATCACCACCCTCGGGCGTCACCCTGATGTCCGCAGCAGCAGCATCACCACGCTCTCCCTCCTGCTCTGTCTTCGCCCCATCGACGTCACCCTCAGCCTCAGGCTCGGGTGCGGGTTTGGGGGGCGGGACCCACCGCCTACCAGTCCCCACCACAGGCGCAGTCGGCGTCGTCCCACCCGCGTCCCCTCCACCGCCGCCGAATCCACCTCGGCCCTGCAACGCCGCCATACGCTCTTTGAGGCTCCCGCCGGCCGCACGCACGGCCTCGCGCGCGTCCGACGCGGACATGCCGCTGCTCGCGGAGCTCTTCACGACGCCGCCAACTTCCGTGGGGGCGCTGGGGGCGGCTGCGTCGATACTGCTTTCGGGCTCGTTCCGCGGCGGGGATGGCGTGCGCTGGCGCGGCTTCCAGCTGACCTTCCCCCTGGACGACGGGGCTGGCAGCGGCGGCGCAGCGGACGATTGGGACTGGGCCTGGGACTGCTTCTCGAATGCGGCGATACGCTCGCGGAGCGACATAGGTTTGGGCGGGTCGGACATGTGTGAAATGTGAGTTTGTGAAGCGGTGTGTGAAGTGATGAACAGAAAGTGGTCGAGGTTGCAGTGGTCGTTGGATACTTAGATTGCCTTGCTTGTCAAGGCACTCTCCAGACCCTAAGGTATGCCGCAATTGATCTCCGCACCCCTTAGTAAGCAGCGCGTGACGGTCACGTGATGGTCAAATCCACAGTCCGAAAAATGCAGCCCTTCTTTTTTGGTATAACGATGGACTTGTATGCACCAAAAGTGATCCAAAATGGGTGTCCCAAGGATAATTGAGCTTTTGTATGGCCACTATGACTGTAGGAGGGGTTCTCGACACTAGCAGCACTGCCACTTCCCAATTAGGAAGTCACGTGAGTGGTCAAATCTTCCGTCCCAAAATTAAAAAATGCTCAGTTCAGTGGGAAATCACTTTCTACAATAAAAGGAAACTTTTGATGCAAAATGCTTGAGCCTCATATCATGCTCTCCAGGAGGCATAATAAAAGATTCGGTTCAGATAGCAGGTGCTCTAAAGGCCTCTAGAAACACCTCATGTGAGTGCTTTGGCTATATTCCCTCTGTGGCCGCCGTCATTTTCCGTCGCTGTTTGTCACAGTGTGACGCTTAGTCATGGGTGCTGGTTTCTAATGCGGCATACCTTATGTTCTACAAATCAGATGCAATAGTTCCGTATCTTGATCCGATCAGGTCACGTTACCAATGATGCTTCCCCTTCTATGTGTGTACGTGTCATAGTTCGGCCACTTTTTCATCTTATCATCAACGATCTTATCTTATCTTGGCACAACTTATGTTATCACGGATCACGGCATCAGACGGTCCGGACTAGGGGTTTCAGGGGATTATCTTCATCGATTCGAGGCTGCGCGACATATGCTCCAGAAGGTTCTACTACGACCCATGACCAGCGTTCCATGCGGTACATAGCCCTATGACTCATTAGTTGTAGATATGACTCAGACTGGATTTGGGTATAAATACTGTAGCTACTTGGTTGTATTCTCCAGTCTTCGAATTCACTTCTCTTTTCGACTTTGTTTTTGGGTTGATTGTCACATAATTCGAAGACTCCCCTCATACCCTCCTACCTCATACCTCTTACCCTGCATCTTGCACCGCTACGCCCGCTATATCCTCTTAACCCTTATCACCCCACTCACCCTTTTACCGAATCATCTAGTCGTCCTCCACTATCGCAGTGAAGGGTTCATATCAAGCAAACAGCACCAGGCCACGGGTAACGTTGAGCCCGACCCAAGCCTTACGGTAGCTACAAGGAGTGCTGCGGAGACCTTCGGGAAAACGCACCTCGGGATCATCGGGCACGTGAAGAGCTAGGCCCGGGATCTTTTTGCTAGCAAAAGAACCTTTCCTCGAGTGCTTGTACAGCACACGAATCCACCATTTCGTACCGATTCCCATCGTCGTCTGGGAGTCCATCCCCTCCCCCCATCGTACCATCGTCGCCCGATCTGGCGCATCAAAACCAACCCGGGCCCTCCGACCCCTACCTCGCCCTCCCACCGCCTGAAGACGAGATCCCCGACCTCGACGAACTGCCCTCCGAACAACCACCCTCGCCTCCACCTCACACGCCTGCCCCTACCATGTCAGGGCATCACCGCATCACCCTCGCCGCCAACCCCCCCTACTTCGATGGCGACAAGTCCAAATACCTGGGCTTTGTGGACGCGTGCACCACTTACATCGGTGCCTATCGATCGGAGTTCTCACAAGATGAGACCAAAATCCTCTTTGTCCTCTCCTACCTCCGTAACGAGAACGGCACGAGCTGCGCTGCCTCGAGATGGGCGATGAACTGGAAGCAGCACAACTTCGATGGCTTCCAGGGACTGAAGACAGGAGTCACATCAAAGAACTTCCTGGAGGAGTTTCAGAGGGCGTTCGGGGACTCCAATGCGGAACAAGTCGCCGCTGCTCGGCTTATGGCCCTGCGTCAAAACAAACGGTCCTTCGCGGACTACATCTCCGACTTTGAGATGTTGGCCGCAGATGCAGGCTACAATGTGGTCGACACCACCGACGACAAAGGCGAATACAAGAAGGGGGACCAGGATAATATCCTCATCGAGTTCCTGGAGCGCGGACTCAGCAGCGAGATCGCCAGCCGTCTCTACAACACCGGTGTCCCTCTGCCCAAGGCCTATGGAGCGTTCAAAGCCTGGTGCATCAACATCGAAGCCAATGCTCTGCGTGACCAGCTGCGCAAAGCGTCGTATGGGCACCCCACACAACGACCACCTCCCCAGTTCCGTCCCCAAACGGCACCAGTGGCGCCCACACCCGCTCCGGCCCGACCCGCTGCCAACGAACCGGTTCCGATGGAAATCGATCGTACCCACGCCCGCGGCCGCAATATCATCTGCTACAACTGTCAGCAGCCCGGGCACATTGCGCGGAACTGCCCGGAGCCCAAGAAGAAGCGCACGTTCTTCAATCGGGCCACAATGCTGGAAGAAATCGAGAACGGGGACAAGGACAACGAGTTCCTGAAGGAGATTGCCGAGAAGCTGCGCGAGAAGGGTTTTTGAAGCGCTCCACTCCTCTAGCCAAGGAGGTGGAGCGTCCGGACTATGGACGATTTTCTGTACTTGTTTCGATTAAAGATACGGACAATATTTCATCTACATACACGATCTCAGACTCACTACGTACAAATATTCACGATTTTCTTATTGCCGAGATGGAAAAAGAACGCCAGGAAAAGATAGCTCTAAATAGAAAATACTTACAAGATAAGAAGGATCAGAAAGCTGCAGATAAATTATTTTTGGACTCCTACGTATTTATGGCTCGTGGAGAAGGAACCACGTCAACAAAGACCGAAAAGGGGAGCATCGCTCCGAAGGCTCGATCCTTGGAAAAGGAGGAAGCGCCCAAAGAATCTGCCAAAATCGAGGTTCCAGAAGCACCCAAACGCACCAGGGTGCCAGATGCCATCCAGAGGAAATTGGCGACCGAGAAACAGAAGGGCCCCCAGCCCAGCAGATTGGCGCAGGAATTGCGCAGTTACCAAGCCGAAAGAAAGAGGCATTCGATGGACGTATATGTCCAGATCACGGGCCTGGACTCAGGGAAAACGCGTGGAGTCAAGGCGCTGCTCGATAGTGGCTGCAGTACCTGCTGCATCGACACCGACTACGCACGGGCAGAAAAGCTGGATATCCAAGAGCTTCCGCAACCCATTGTGGCTCGTAACACCGACAACACCGAGAACATCAGCGGTCGGATCACACACTACGTCGACTTGAGAATGAGAATCGGCCCTCATGTGGAGACACGCACGTTCCTTCTGACGTGTCTGGGAAAAGCCCGGATCTTCATCGGCCTGGATTGGCTGACGGAACACAACCCCGAGGTGGATTGGCAGGAGCAGACAATGAGATTCAGCCGATGCCCAGAGCAATGTCAAATGAGGGGTCACGAGGAACACCAAGCGATGATCGACATGGATGCAATTGACCTGGACGCGGGTGCACCGGATCTGGAAGAGGGAGAATCGATCTTGTTGATCGACTTTGGAAAGGAGGTAGACCTACGGCTGAAGGAAACGCCGGCGCAGAAATTCGCAGAAGAAGCGGAAAAGGAGAAGGAGAGAATGACCGAGGGAAAGATTCCAGATCAATACCGAGAATTCGTCAAAGTATTCGCCAAGGAGTCATTCGACTCGCTACCGGACCGACGGGCATGGGATCATGCGATCGAGCTCAAACCAGGCTCCAAAGCAGTGGACTGCAAGGTGTACCCCTTATCGAGAAACGAGCAGGTCAAACTCGACGAGTTCTTACAAGAGAACCTAGCCAGCGGACGAATCAGGCCATCAAAATCACCCATGGCATCGGCATTCTTCTTTGTCAAGAAGAAGGATGGCTCGCTACGGCCTGTTCAAGATTACCGGAAGCTGAATGAGATGACGATCCGAAATCGGTACCCGCTACCGCTGATTTCCGAACTGGTCCACAACCTGTGCGGCGCCAAGTTCTTCACCAAGCTAGACATCCGGTGGGGATACAACAACGTACGGATCAAAGAGGGCGATGAGTGGAAGGCTGCGTTTCGCACAAACCGCGGACTTTACGAGCCCTTGGTTATGTTCTTTGGTCTCACAAATTCCCCGGCAACTTTCCAAAACATGATGAACGACATACTCCGGGAACTGATCAACGAGGGACATGTGGTAGTTTATCTGGACGACATACTAATCTTCACAGAAAATCTGGATGAACATCGACGAATCACCAAACGGGTACTCGAGTTGCTCCAAAAGCACAAATTATACCTGAAGCCGGAAAAGTGCGAGTTCGAACGCACGGAAATCGAATACCTGGGTGTAATCATTGGACACAACTCGATGCGGATGGACCCTGTCAAGATCAAGGGCGTGATGGAATGGCCGGAACCAAAGAGCGTCAAACAAGTCCAAGCCTTCCTCGGATTCACAAACTTCTATCGACGTTTCGTTCGGGGATATGCGGAGGTCGCCAAGCCGTTGACGCGGCTGACAGGGAAGGCAGGATGGTCATGGGGTCCGGATGAACATGCGGCGTTTGATGGGTTAAAGAAGAGAATCGCGGAGGATGCCGTCTTAGCACTGCCAAATGACACTGGCCAATATCGTCTGGAAGCCGATGCTTCGGAAGGGGCAACAGGATCAGTTTTGAGCCAAAACCAAGACGGCATTTGGCGCCCAATCGCATTTATTTCGCACGCATTGACCGAAACCGAGCGAAATTATGAGATCTACGACAAGGAGATGCTCGCAATCATGTTATCACTTGACGAATGGAGGCAGTTGCTCCTGGGAGCCACGGAAACGTTCGAGATCTTCACCGATCATCAGAATCTCGAGTACTTTCGGAAGCCGCAGAAGCTCAATCGACGGCAAGCACGATGGATCACGGAGTTGGCGGAGTTCGATTTCACCTTACGACACCGACCCGGCGCACTCAACCGCAAGGCGGACCTCCTGTCCCGACGAGCAGATCACGATCAGGGCAAGAACGACAACAAGGACGTCACGCTACTGAAGCCCGAGTTCTTCCGATCACAAGAAGTCACATTCGAGGGACAGGATCAGCAGCTAATCGACGAAATCAAGGCCATTCGATCAATTGATGGAAGCGTCAAGGCGGCCTTAGAGAAGTCACTCGCCGGATGGAAGAAGGAAGAGGGGCTTATCACGTACCATGGGAAGCTCTACGTACCAAGGGACGAGGAGTTGCGGGACAAAATCATCGGACTACACCACGACACCCCTTTGGTCGGACACGCCGGGATCAACCGAACGCAGGAGATGGTGGAAAGGAACTACTGGTGGCCAAGGATGGGAAACCAAATTCGGAAATACATCCAGACGTGCGAAGCGTGCCAGCGGACCAAGACCAGAAGAGCCAGGACAGGGAGTTTGCACCCGCATGCAGTTCCAAACGCGCCGTGGGAAATCATCTCCATGGATCAGATCGGACCCCTGCCGGTCAGTAACGGGTATGACGCAATTCATGTGTGGTGTGACACCTTCACCAAAATGATCCATGTCGAACCAATTAGTACTGACATCAGCAGCGAAGGAGTAGCACGATTAACCAGGGACCGAATCTTCCGCTATCACGGGGTCCCCCGCAAAATCATCACTGACAGGGACTCTCGATACATCAAGGGCTTTATGAAGGAAACGAATCGGATGTTGGGCGTGGAAATGAATCCGGGGACCGCATATCACCCCATCACGGATGGGCAGACGGAGCGTATGAATCAGGAGATCGAACACTATCTCCGCATTTACGTCAACTACCATCAGACGGACTGGTCGGAGTGGCTGGGAATGGCGGAGTTCGCATACAACGACAAAATGAACACGTCTACCAAAATGTCGCCGTTCTATGCTAATCACGGATATCACCCATGGAAGGGAGTAGAGCAGCGGATGGAATCAAGGAACGAGTCGGCGGGGGAATTTGTAAAAAGGATCAAAGAAATACAAGACGAAGCAAAAGCAGCATTGGAAAAAGCAAAAGAAAAAATGAAAAAATACTACGATAAACAAAGAAAAGAAGTTCCGGAGTTGAAGGTTGGGATGAAGGTGTACATAGAAGGAGAAAATATCGAGACGGATAGACCATCAAAGAAGATGAGCGACAAGAGATTGGGACCATACGAGATACTGGAGAAGGTTGGAGCGGCCGCATGGAAGCTGGATTTGCCGGACACGGACCGAAGACACCCGGTGTTCAACGAGTCACTGTTGACACCCTATCACGAACCACCCCCCCATCGCCGAGAGAAGAGACCCGTGGCCAAGATGATCGGAGGAGCAGAGGAGTGGGAAGTCGAAGAAATCGTGAAAGAGCGAAAAGTCGGCCGAGGAAAACAGTACTTGGTCAAATGGAAGGGATGGCCGCACAGCGAGAACACCTGGGAACCATCACGTCACCTTACCCACGCAAAAGACGTCCTGAGAGACTGGCAGAGGAAACAATCAAATCCAGACACACGCATTCGCCTCCTGCCAACGCTCGAAGCTGGACACTGGGACTATCTCATTCATCGCTACCAGCCCAGGGACGAGCGCCTTCCATACCCCCAACGACAGCTCTTCGACCCTTACGAGAACGTCTTCTTACCCATTGGCCTGGTCGATGAGGACATCGACCCTAGAGAGGGGGTAATGTCATAGTTCGGCCACTTTTTCATCTTATCATCAACGATCTTATCTTATCTTGGCACAACTTATCTTATCACGGATCACGGCATCAGACGGTCCGGACTAGGGGTTTCAGGGGATTATCTTCATCGATTCGAGGCTGCGCGACATATGCTCCAGAAGGTTCTACTACGACCCATGACCAGCGTTCCATGCGGTACATAGCCCTATGACTCATTAGTTGTAGATATGACTCAGACTGGATTTGGGTATAAATACTGTAGCTACTTGGTTGTATTCTCCAGTCTTCGAATTCACTTCTCTTTTCGACTTTGTTTTTGGGTTGATTGTCACAGTACGCGTCTGTTGTGCTCTCATTCACTCTTTACTCTTCTTTTCATACGCTCCCCACCATGGCTGGCATTCAAAACAGTGTAATTTATAGTTCCATGCACAATGATGACTCTCTTTTGAGCACCCACCTGTGGGCTGTTTTTGTTTCCATTCATGTCACTCTCTAACCACACTGCTCCACATTCCACCACTGCAAACACAAGCGCTTACACCGCATGATGTTGTCTTGCCTCATCTAGTCTCTGCTGGTGGTGCCTGACCTGGACAAGAGCCCAAAGAGGAAGAAGATGAGAGCGTCTGGCACTTAGTTACAGCTGCACTGGTATTTTATTTGTTTTATTGTGTATCAATTGGATTATATGGATTGAATCGGTGAGCAAGGCATGATGTTGGCGGAGCCAACACTTTCTAGTGTTTGAGGTGAATCGATACGATCTGATGCCATCAAGAGACAATTGCTCGCGGAAGTCTAGGTGGGACGACAGCTCACACTGTCTGGTACGTGTAATCGGACTCATTCCATATCATTATATATACCTATATAATCTTCCTGTGCCGGAAGATAGAGTGCCTACTGGTCGTTTCTTCTGTCATACAAAGTCAGTGGTGGGTGCGCTATAATTACCGGGTGGTCGTTCTCAATCACGCATTAATTGGGTAGTGGTAACCTGGGTCGTTGCCATATTTTGAGACAAATAGATATCGACCCGCCGGGGGTTCGATTCCCCCTTAATGCATAAAGATCATCTTTGATCTCAGCTCTTCGTTTTTAACCATTGTTCCCTTAACTCTTCGCTTGCTCGGAGAATCCTACTTGCCTTACTTTCGACTCAAATGACCAAATAAACAGGTGTTTTACATTCTGGCCAACGATTAAACGACTTCACCCCGCTCATTGGTCAATTTCACGCCCACCACATCCCCACTTTCCTCGCCTATCTGCGGATGTTTATCCACACTTCGATCTCCACTCCCAAACCGCATCCCATGCACACCACCGAACCCCAGCTCCAGCGAGTCGTCGTGCGTCTGTGTGCTGCCGCTGATATTGCGTGTGGCGCTGAACGTGGGCATCCGCAGCGTCTCGGGCGCGGCGAAGACGGACTGCGGATGGCTCTTCCCTCTGTTATTGAGCACTGCGACGAGGGAGTTGGTGTAGAGTTTTCCGATACAGCTCGTGCTGATGGACTTGGTTAGCCATTTTTCTTCAGTTTGGAGCGAGGGCGGGCCCAAGCCTTACACAGGAACAACCATGGATGGTTTCGACTGGAATGGAAACATGAGCAGCTGGGCTATTCTTTGTCTAAACACGACTTACCGGGATGCCCCAGTAGAAAATGAGAGCCAGGACGGCGAATGTCGCTGTGATCTTGATTAGATGCATGATCTCTATTCGAGTGAATGGACCTCTCACCGGTAATGGCGTTTGTCTCTGCTATCAGCCTGACCACCCGGGAGATCACAGAGTTTGTGCTCAAAACGGAAGACCTGTGTTCGTAAAGGAGCTACATCCGAGAATCTCGTGCGTTAGACTGGCCGCGCTACGCGCCATACATCGAGTACTCACCGTCCAACTCATGACAATCGCAATGGACAAGTCTGCGACCGCAGCGCCGGTAAACCAAATCTGCTTAATCGTTAAGAATAAAACCCAGGAGCAATCAATACCGCGACTCACCGTCGTCTCAACAAACTCGCTCCCAATCAAGGACCACCTGGCCACCTGCTGCGCCTTGATCCCGACGACCATGCCCGCCGCAAACTGCATCGTCGCCACAAGCAGAATCAGCCCCGGGATGGCGTTCTTCCAGCGCCGGCCGTCGCGCAGGAACCAGATGCGCCAGCAGTAGAAAGCCTGGGCGATGAATGCAATCAGCGCATCGAGAAACGGGACATCGATCCCGTTGATCCAGATCTCGTCCAGCATCTGGGCATTGCCGTAGCCCGCGACGAACCAGTGGAACGCGTCGGCCGTGATCATGGCCGTCTGCGTCGTGTCGAGCAGGAAGAGGACCAGGACCAGCGATTTGATGATCCGGTTGTCGCGCCGGGTGAAGCTGGCGGTGTAGTGGTCTGGAGAACGAAGATCAGCTACTATACTACGCTGAGAGAGAGTTCTGCTTGTGGCTTACAAGCTTGGACACACATCACCCCGTACAGCCACCAATTTAGGCATGTCGCTAGCAGCTACGAAAGTGACCGAGTGAGCGCCGCCGTCAATCAGCTCCTGGAGTGAGGAACTCACGGACGGCCCAGTGCTATACGTAAATCACGTCAGACAACGCCGGCGTCACGAAACAGCGGAGAACATACGTCCAGACAAGCTCTGCAGCAGTCAGAATGGCGGTGGCGGACATGAGAGTAAACGCGGAGAACAGATGATGGGGGAGACTCGACACGCGGATTAAGACAGAGACACCATCCCTCACATGAGCCGGCGACTCAGAACCAAGAATAACCAGCCAATCCAATCGACAATGAATGTCTCCTCTGCTGCCGTAGATCGGATTCGCGAAGCACTGATATCAACCCGTCCGGAGGAAAATCAAGACGGGCTTGGTCTCTGGGCATGGAGGATCCCACGCTCTTCGCACCCGACTCGCTTGGCTGAGTAATCCGCCTGACTTGGTTTCTCATCCGATGCCTTCGACATAGCGGCAGATGATGATTGTACCGCTGTAAAGTGACGATCCGCGTTGTTTGATGCCTGACGCCGCGTGAGCGCGAGCGGGGGATTGGCTGGACTTCATTCGACCCACGAAGATCCCATGCATCTGCTGGCGGGTGATAGATCATCGCTGGGAGTAAAATCAATCATGTCTTAATCATGATCGATGCCAGGCGCCTTGGGGATAAGAAGAAGACGAAGTCCGAGTAAGTAGGCCTGTCGAAAGTAGCTGCCTACTGAGATTCAATGTACGTCATCGTGGGTTGGGGGAGTGATCCGGATCACACGAGAGGATCAGGTGGGCTTGGCCCTTCATCCAGTATCTTCACACATCCAAGCCATCCGACGCGCATACTTATTTCCTCAGGAAAGTTTAGGAAAGATTGCGATGCTGCATGAATGCCACCCATAACAACGAATGGGTGATACCGTATACGCGTCCGGTGGCCCTCGGCTGCCCTGCATGCTTGACACCGACAGACGCCCCATTGACTTGGCTGCTCGCTAGAAGTGACTTCGACCCCCGAGCAAACTCCTACTCGCTTGGTGGCAGCCATATAACCACCAGATTTTGCCGAGGAGCAGGCAAGACACTAACATGTTCACCTTCAAATCGTCCCACCTTGCTCTCGCTCTCGCGGCTGTATCCGCCGTGAATGCCCTGAGCTTCAAAGCTCCCAAAACCGCGCCTTGCGCCGACCATGTCGCCGCTCCGGCTTTCAAGCATCAAGGATCTGTGCTGACGCACTACGGTGTACGCACATCCTTCAACCTCGTTCCAATCGAGTGATAATTGATGTCTGTCTAATCTTCAGCCCGAGCCGGACATCAAGGTCCTCCAGTTCATCAACGTCGGCATCGAAGGGTCCCTCTTCCAGTCCGACTCCGAATCCGAGGACACCGTGAAAATCACGTTCGCGAGTCTCGCCCAGAATGACACCGGTCGAGTGAGTTCGGATGCAGCGCTATGAGTTCGACTATTAGAGCTAACTGTGCCCAGTGGGAGTCGATCCGCGTGTACCCAGATGCAGGCATATTCCAGATCAGCAACCTCGAGACGGGCACCTACCTTGGCGTCAAGTACGAGGTCGACGAGCTCAAGCTGGTTGCCAACCGCGGCGTCGACCCCGCCTCGTTCGAGTACGAACGTGGATCCTCGCCCGAGGCATTTGCGGTAATTACGTCCCTCGCTGCATCTTACTTGGCACTAAATGCCCGGCCTCCAGATCCGGCTCGTCAACACCAACCTTGTCTGGCAGGCGGTGTACGACGACGAGACCAAGAAACACTCGGGCCATGTATGCTTCCTCAGTTTCTTGCTATTGGATGCGTTTCTGACCATCGCCAACTTCAGGTCGAATTGAGGGACAGGATCGAGAAGTGGGAGCACGGGAGAGAGTTCCAGGACTGGATCTTCGCTCACTAGATCAGTCCTAAGAAAGTAGTGCATAGTAACTAAACAATGCCCAATGCAATCTTCCAAGCATGAATCGACCCCGCCTATCTGCCGCACTCGCAGAGAGTCCCCCAACATACAATGTCAGATGTCCATTTACAGCTGATTCAGTCGCCCAACCTGAGAGAGGCTTGTCACAACTTGTTTGACATTCCTGCTCCGTCAGCACAAAATGCGGCCCAACGTCAAGAATTCTTGGAGGATACGGCAGGGAGATTCCTTGCTGATACATCATACCAGCACAAGTGGAATCGGTCAAGTTAGAACTTGTTATCTCACGGGGTCGGGCTAGAAAGATGATAGAAACAAAAGAGCAAATGGCCTTCGTGGCATTTTCGTCTATCTATCTATCTATCGATATTTTATATTCTATCTTACCCTATCCTCCAAGGTTCGATTGAACCGATCAGAACAGGCTTCTTTCGGGAGATGATCTTTTGATCAACAGTTCATCCGCTTGAAAATATTCTCGGAACAGTCAGAACCTCGAATAAGCCCTGAAACACTATCATTATTCGACCCCTCTTTCTCCAACATAGTTCTCGCCATACCACTCATCTCCGAGTCGGGGAAGCTCTTACTCATGCCCAGGACTTCGGATGACGACGAGCCCGTTGCACGGCTGCTAATGACTCCTTCGACGAGGAAAGCCTGAGAAGCTGGACTGAACGATCCCACACGACTGCGATATAAGTACGGTATACCTGCTGTGTTCCCATGTACGTCATCGTAGATTAGCGCAGTGATCCAGATCACACGGGGCGGCTCAGGCAGGCTTTCTAATACTTGACACGTTCTGGTGATCCTACGCGCGTTTTTTTCGGGAACATTTCGAAAAATCCTTCGAGGCTTCGGAAAGGCCACTAATATCAACAAACGGGTGGTACCGTATACGCGTCCGGTGGCCCTCGGCTCCCCTGCCTATTTGACAACGACAGATGCCCCATTAACTTCGCTGCTCGCCAGAGGAGAATCTAACCCCCGAGCAGACTCCTACTCGCTTTGCGGGAGCCATAAAACAATTGGATTGTGCGACGGAGCAGGTAAGACACCACCATGTTTATCTTCAAATCTTCCCACTTTGCTCTTGCTCTCGCGGCGATTTCCGCCGTGAATGCCTTGAGCTTCAAAGCTCCCAAAACCGCGCCTTGCGCCGAACATGTCGCTGTTCCGGCTGTCAAGCACCAAGACTCTGTGCTGCCGCAATACCGTGTACGCACTCCCTCTCAACTTTACTCTCAGCGCTTTGTGATTGAGGTCTGGTCGACAGCCCGAGCCAGAAATCAAGGTCCTGCAGTTTATCAACGTCGGCCTCCAAGGGTCCATCTTCCAGTCCGACGACGAATCCGAGGACGCCCTGAAGATCACGTTCGCGAGTCTCGCGCAGAACTACACTGGTCAGGTGAGCTCGGGCGCAGCGTGGTCGACACGACACTAGGACTTGAACTGTGCACTCAGTGGGAGTCGATCCGCGCGTATCCCAGACGCGGGATATTCTGGATCAGCAACGTCCAGACGGCCACCTACATCGGCGTCGAGTACGAGGGTGACGATCCGAAGTTGGTGGTCAAGCGCGGCGTCGGCGCCGCCTCGTTCGAGTATGAACGCGGCTCCTCGCCCGAGGCTTTCTCGGTGAATTCGTCTCTTGCTGCATTTCACTTGGTGCTGAATGGAGATATCCAGATTCGTCTCGTCAACACCAACCTTGTCTGGCAGGCTGTCTACGACGACGAGACCAAGAAACACTCCGGCCATGTGAGATTCCTCATTTTCATGGCTATCGAGTACATTTCTGAATATCATGAGCTGCAGGTCGAACTGAGGGAGAAGATTGAGAAATGGGAGCACGGGAGAGAGTACCAGGACTGGATCTTCGCTAACTAGATCAGTCGTAACGGCATAGCAAGAAACAATGCTCAATTCGATCCTCGAAATATAGACCCCGCTTATCTGCCGCACTCGCAAAGACTAGCCCTCCAACACTCAGTGTCAGATGTCCATTTATCGCCAAGAGCATGATCCCTTTGCGCGCCCTAAGAGAGGGCTGATAGCGCCTGCTTCGACGTTCCTACTGAGCCCGTACAAAATGCCGCCCAAGGTCAAAATTCTTGAACACAGCGTAGAACATACAGTAGATGCTGACACCTGTACAAGCCCAAGCCTACAGCCTCCTGACGGATCACGTGGCAGGCGAGGGAAAGAAGTCCTTTGTCGCGTGTTTGGCGTGACGTGAGATTGTGTCTTTCTCCTCCTCAATGCCACCAAATCCTCGCGGATGTTTGCGGCTGACCGGTTTGAGTGCCGCCCTGACCTACAATGTCGATTTGGCTGCGCGGATAGCTTTGGGGGTGACTGTCGGGGAGCAGCATGGGCTCTAGTCGCTGTGCACAGCCTTGGTGGCGTGTGTCACCCCAATGTCAATCCAGGAACGTCTACTCACAACGGCTGTCTTCCTGCCACGATGAAGAAACTGGCCTCCTGGACGCCTTCGCAGCTGCACCCCCGCCTTCCGCCGTCGTCATCCAAAGCCACAGCCAAAGCGGAGCACAACGCGTCCATCCCCGCCGCTGTCCTCCCCCCCGAGATCCTCTCCCACGTCTTTCTCATCCTGTGCCAGGACTGCCTCCCGCCAGATTACTCCTGGATCGCCACCTCCCAGGTCTGCGCGTCCTGGCGCGCCGCAGCACTCGCCACCCAGGCCCTCTGGACGCACCTCGTCTTCCGCTCCCCCGCGTGGATCACGCGCTGCATCTCGCGTACGGGGACCCAGCTGCTAATCGTGCAGACGACGATCGGGAGCGATGCGGGGCTGAAGATGGTGCTCGATGTGCTGGAGCGGTACCGCGCTCGCATCGGTGCGATCTGCCTCGCGGTGTATGAGTCGTGGAGCCAGCCGTATCTGTGGAAGTTTCTGGCGGGAGACTTCCCGGCCGTGGTGGTCAAGCGGTATTCGGATTGGAGTGTGCCGAAATTGTATGAATAATCAAATGCTCGGGCAGAGGATGTCTAGAATTGGGTAGCCACGTCTAGAATCCGTTAGATCCAGGCATCGTGACAGCAGTAGGAATGATTCCATGGACATTTTCCACATGACAGTTTGGACACAGGCTTATCGACACACCTAGCTGTTTCATCGTTCTGCTTATGTAGTCACAGCAAACGAATAGCTCATCTATGTCATAGCCTGACCGATAACGGATCTAATCAACTCATTGATTCCGAGGGAACGCATGCCGTCACGCGGTCACGCGCTTTCTTCTTCCCACCACGACGCACGAGCCGAGAACCCACCCGTCATGCTCGCCGCCACGCAACAGGTATCCTACCCGATAGCCGGACCGTCGCAGCCCTACCCGGAACTCCCACCCGGCTCCTTTGCTCCACACAACAACACCACCAACAGCGGTCTGCCCTTCGCGATGGCCACGGCCCAGCCAGGCCCCGTCGCGCCGCCGGCAGATCCCAATTCCCCCGAGGCGTTCAAGCAGAACCTGGAGATGATACAGCAGCAGGTGCTGCGGGTGCGCAGTATGGCGCGGCAGACACTGGACGGAATGTACGTCGGCGCGCTCAAACGAAACGGGAGGAGCCGCGCACGCGCCTGACGCGCGCCCACAGAAACAATGCGTATCAGCTGGGCCGGACGCCAGCCCAAACCGAAGGTACGCCGTGGAGCTGTTGCCTGCCCATGATGGTCTCATTTTCGCGCGCGCAGCGGACATCGCCACGCTGAAGCAGGCGACGGAGTTGCTCTTCGACATGCTAAGGCAGACAGGCGTCGGCGCTCTCCCCCTCCTCCCTCCCCCGCCCCCAAGTGACGACGGTTCTGTACCGCCAGCTCCGCCCGAGGAGCAGCTGCTCGTCCAGACGAACCGTGGTCTGTCCGCGACGTACGATCAGCTGAAGCGATTGCAGGACGCGGCGACGATCGGAATGAATCTACTCGGGCAGGGACAGACGTATGGGGCTGTCGCCGGGGCAAGTCATGCGCAGATGCTGGCCCAGGGACACAGATGAGCAGAGCAGAAATCGAGATGACAGATCTTGGATGGTGGATCGCTCTGTTCAATATATTGTGGTTTTGCCTTAGACTCGCTCCAGAGTGAAACATCAACCTTCCGATACGATTTTCCTTTAAGAGAATGGGCTAGGAAAGGAAGGGAGAACGGTGAACAGTCGCTGCGGATTGTGGACGGGCTGATATGATTTGGATAGCTCGATAACTTTGACCCTCAGCATTAATGGGGTAGTGGTAACCTGGGTCGTTGCCACGGCAGCTTATGTCGACCCGCCGGGGGTTCGATTCCCTCTTAATGCAGAGACTCACCTGGCTCCGCAGTCGTGAATTGTCCAATACACGCTTTTGAAAGAAATGTGGCATTCTTCTCATGTTTTGTTGTCCACTGCTCACAGCTACGCTTCATGCAAATCAGCCACCCTCCTTCACGACTCAGAGTTTGAAACAAACCTTGGCTCTCACAGAAAACACTGCGATACGCCACAAGCTCGCCATGATGTAACACACGCGAGACCGCATCATAAAACTCAGCACTGCGATCACAACAGATTTACACTCACATGCATGTGAAACTGTCCATGAAAATTCGAAATAGCCATCTGGCCGTTTCCAGCAGCTTCAAAACGAGTTTCGCGCAGAAGAGTTGGCTCAGAAAGTGTCCGAGAAGTGCTGCTGACTATCGAGTGATGATCATGAGCTTAAATTCGACGATTCAAACACAACACAGACTCGTAAGACCAGGAGGAAGAACCCTTGAGGTGGTATCAACGTTTGGGTGAATCCATCACTGGAGAACGTTCGAGACCCGTTCACGTATTCTTCAATCTGATAAAGCTAGACAAAAGTACTGAATTTCGGAATAGTCTCGATTCCAGCTTCGATCTTGCGCCTCCAGTCCGCAAGATCCCACTCACAGCATCTGGGGATACTCTCCTTCGGAACCGCAGGAATGTTGAAGACGGCATCGAGCGCACGAAGTGTGTGTACGCCGGCTGCGAGGTTCTGAAGCACAGCAGCAATCAGCTGCGACCAATTGCATGACGAGCCATGGTTGTACGAGTTGCGGCCACAGTAGTTGCAGTTCTGGCTCTGTGCAACGGCGTTTGCCTGCGAGGAATGCCCTGACCAGACACTAGAAACCTGGGGGTTGCCGCCCGTAGGCAGCTGGAGTGCGATTGTCTGATGGATTCGAACCCATTCCTGCACGTAACGAGTCTGACTGCAAGCATCGGTGGTCAGATCATCACACGACCGTCAGCCACGCACCCAGGGCCGAAACAAGTTCGGCGGGAGCAGGTCAGCAACGTCGACAGCCGGCATGCTGATCATCATCGGGCCTATCTCGCCGAGGAGGTGGGGGTAGTCGTGTTTGGCAGCGTATGCGGCCACCTCAACAGGGTGATCCTTCCCCATATCACTGTTGACGATCGCTTTAGCGTTGACGATCGAAGGGCATGTGCCTGGACACGCACCGAAGCCGAATATGACAGATATTCATTGCTGGGAATACCTGGTACTTCTCCGCTGCCTCGGCGAGTGGGGCGAGAACGTCAAACGTGACAGTGTCGAGCCCAGGATGACGGCGGGGGTAGATGAACTGGAAGAGCAGCTCGAGTATGGTAGAACACTCCTCCAGCGGGATGAGCTCCTGCGAGCCCGGCGACGCAACCTCGCACGGCGGGAATCCCTCAGCGCACACCTCTAGATTCTTTCGATGGACGCGGAAGAGGGTGCGATCGGAGGAGATGAAGGAGACATCCGCATCGGAGGCATTAACTGCGGGCGCAATGTGAGTGAGGCATGCGGTGGATCAGCCGATGCATACATAGCGGCGATTCCGCAAGAGGCACATTGCTAGGAGCGCTAGTGGAGTCCCCCATATCGAAGTCAGGGATGGCTGGCAGAAGAGCAATCCCATCTGCGTTTATATGTGCTGCAGCCCATGACGAGACAAGAATGGAATTCTTCACACGCACCTCGTCTCATCGTCTTCCATAACTCTTATCGACGCTTTTCTCCCACCAGAAAAGGGGCCTGGCATCGATAAACGCCCAACTTGGAGTCACTTGAGCGAAATTTAAGTTCAGAGACACAAGACAGCCGCCTCGCTCAGAGCTTAAACCTCATGCTCTATGTCGCCGCAGCAGGACGAAACTGGGTTGAATCAATCAGACTGGATCCGATCGGTTTTCACTAGAATATGTGTAAATCGTTGTCTGTGCATTGTAAGCTTCTAATCTGCCCAATAGCTCACTAGCCTTGGTAGTGTCCCGGTGCCGGATACTCCTTTGATACCAGCATTTGAAGACCCCCTTTTTATCCCCACTAGCACCACCTGCCACTTTCATCCTTTGTGATGCCAGATCCCCTAGCTTTTCTCACTCTCTTTGTTTGATTTGTTGGTACTCATGAGAAAAGTTGGTGATGGACGCTACGTCATTGCGTGTCTCACGGTCGCGTTGATAGATCACATGACCTGAAAGTCGCGTACACACATCGTTGAACTCTCTATTCCATACATCCATGCCCAAAACAACGAACTATACCATACACTCCGAGGAGAAGAAGAACCAATTCATTGGTGCCATGTTGGTCAACCCAGTGATCAAGAAGCACGCATCCGCGTTTGACATCCCGTACGAAACCGCGCGTAAGATCTGGAGACGTTACCGGCAAACGGGGTCTGCGGCAAACCTGCCCAAGAGCCACCCTCGCAAGAAGGTGACAGCCAAGATGGAGGCCGAAATGCTCGAAACCGCGCGCAACAACCGACGCATGCTGTTCAATGACATCGGCAACAGGATGGACCCACCTGTCAGTGGAACAACCGTTGGGAAGGTGCTTGATGGATTTGGGATGCATCGGAGGGTTGCCAGGCACGTTCCCTACCTCACAGACGCCACGAAAGAGAAGCGGTTGGCATGGGCGACGGAGCACGATGGAATGACAGAGCTGGTGTTGATCAAATGATGATCTTATCATCTGCCAGATGGATGTCGTGATACACATCTTATGACTCCATCACGTGTCATCTAGAGTCATGTCGACTCGTCCTAAATAGACACAAATAGCCCCCTGTATTGTATATAAGGAGGGCTCTATTACCCTATAATCCAAGTCTCTTGACTACTCCCGCATAGTGCCCACACTGAGCTCTCACTCACACAGGTGAGCTGCTAGACGCTCTCCCCAGTGCTCAACAGGTTATGGGCCCCGAGAGCTATGTCTGCGCCTCAATGGCCGCGACATTCATTGTATGCGCCGTCACTGGCTGCAACGATGAGCAGCGTCTTTAGCCTATCTGTCATCACTTCAGCTGCTGCATAGCGCTGGTGAAACCATGCCGGATCGCGATTACATTGCTTGATCCAGATGCATCGATCTCTGAAGGAGATTATGATCTATGAGGATCTGATCATCTTTATCTGTGATTTTATCTATCAGATTAGATTGATGCTGATCACTCACACAGATCAACATGTCGTCCAACTCCAACAACATCTTCAATGCTGTCTCCATCTTTGATGGAAAGCACTGGCTTGTCTGGTCCGGAACTATGGAGTCCTATCTGGAGCATCAGGGGATCTCATACGTGCTGACCGAGACCGCGCCAACCGAAGTCAAGGCTACGGATGGCTCTGTGACCAACGCATCGGAGATCAAGCAATGGAAGCATGATGATCTCAGGGCAAAGGGCAGCATTAAGTTGCGCCTGACTGAGGGAGTCATTGCCAACATTCCAACCGCCAACATAGTGTCAGCTGCCAAGATCTGGGAGCACCTGAAGACCCAATACGGTGGTGCTCAGTGCGCCGACCTGTACGCGTACTTCCAAACCGCGTTGAACGCCAAGTACAACGTGGGGTTGCACCCTGATCCACAGCTGCTGGTGATCACTACGGCGTTCGCTCGCCTGGAGAATGAGTCTTTGAGCATCCCTGAGTTCCTCAGAGCGATGATCATTCTCAACATAGCCCGGATTCCCTCCGTCACAGAGACTGTTCTCCAGACCTATGAAAAGGACGAGATCAAAGTCTCGGCGGTTCGTGACGCTCTCTTGACGCATTTCGCTCAGAAGCAGTCTCAAAGCCAGAATCATGTGGCCAAGTTCAATACCAAGCGCAAGTGCGATGATCCTTCGTTCACCAATCAGCAACAGGGCTCTGGCTCTGCACCCGATAAGGGTGATAAGGCTGATGGAAAGAAGAAGAACCGTCGAGGCAAGCGCAGTGGGAAGAACAAGGACAACAAGGGCAAGGGCAAGGCTGATCACAGTCATGTCCATGGAGTCTCCGAGATCACTGGCTCCCTCACTATTGGTTCGATCGCCTCGCTCACTCCGTCTATCCCTGCGCCGACGATCTCGCATGTCACGCACATCTCTCGCGATGGACCCAAAATCCGCGCGGTTCAAGAGAAGTCTCCCGTTAACAACAATGGGATCATTGACACCGAGTTTCAGAAGCCTACTCGTAAGGTCTTCGAGCTGGCCAAAAAGATGGATGTGACGGTGACCGCAGAACGCTTCCGGACTCTCGACAAGATTGTCAATGAGAAAGGAATGCTCCGCGAGGACGCAATTATGCGTTCTCCATCTCCGGTTGCTTCCGGCTCGAATCACACGCTGGATGATGGTCCTCCTGCCAAACGCAGTCGTATCGAGGAGATCCCCAACGTCGAGATGGCCACCAGCCAACAGAACGATCTTGATCTTCTGTTTGGAGATAGCGAGTTCGCCCAGGCTGAACCGGTCAATTGGGATGAAGTCGTCGACTTCAACACCCTTCTGGAGGAGATGGACGCTCCTTCCGCCGAAAGGCAAGTACCCTGCCTTCTTGGGCACATGCACAATTCTGATTGTTGCTCACAGCCAGAGCGCGTAATCACCGCCGCCCCGGGTTCTGTACTTAATTCGTTGATGATTCGTTCGCATGATTTTTGTACCAATCTATTCTGTGTGCACTCCGATTTTGCTGCCTGCTCTAAGTGTAAGGGGAAACATCATCATCATGAATTAGGGCCTCTATGGCTTCTTGATTCAGGTGCATCTCTCCATGTGACATCGGAGATTAGTGATCTGGTCGGATATGAGAAGCTCTCAGATCCTATTGTTGCTCAGACCGCTGATAAGAACACACGTGTTGCCCTTATTGGTCGAGGAACAGCCTTCATCGATCATTACGTCACAAGGCATGGAGAAAAGACAATGGTGACTTCTCAGATATATCCAGTGTACCTAGTGCCAGGATTACATGGTCGTCTCATGTCTTTGGGCTCCTTACTCAAAGGAGGATCTCGCGTTCGTGGAGACGAATCGCAGATCAGCTTACATCGAGGGAAGTCCCCACTCTCGATCATGGAGTTTAGAACTCTAGGGAAGGACATTGCCTTGTACTTCCTGATGTCAAAGCCTAGCACAGCTGAGACAGTGCGATCCATGTCCACTATTTACAAGGTGGATTATGAGATCATGCACCGGCGACTTGCACATCCGTCGAAAGACGTTTTACATCAGGCAAAGAAGAATACCAAGGGCTTTCCAGAAGACCTAGTATTTCCCGAGGAAACCCGACCGTGTAAAGGATGCGCGCAAGGGAAAATGCACCAACGTGCCTTCCCGCCTTCCGAAAAACGAGCGGAGAATCCGTTTGATTTGATCCACTCGGATCTCAAACAATTTCCCACGGTGTCTTATCACAAGTACCGCTACTTCATGAGCTTCTTCGACGAAGCACTCTCCTATGGCTGGACAGTATGCCTTGCGCAGAAATCCGATGCCAAGCAGGCTATGCGCAATTTCATTGCGATGGTCAAGAACCAGTTCAATGTCACCATCAAAAAGTGGCATATTGACAATGGGGGAGAATTCATGGGGATGGGAATGGAAGAATTTCTCGCGGAACAAGGAATTCTAGTGGAGAAGGGTGCTCCATATGCTCACCAGCAGAATGGGCATGCTGAGCGCTTCAATCGTACGATCATGGATAAGGCAGAAGCCATGCGCTTCACTGCCTGTCTTCCTAATTCTTATTGGGAATTCGCTATCAAACATGCGACACGGATCTACAATATGACACCTATCAGGCGTCTAAAATGGAAAACTCCATTTGAAGCTCTTCACAAGGAAAAACCGGATGTTTCCGAACTCCGAGTCTTTGGTTGCGCTGCATATGTCTTTATCCCTGATGAGAAGCGCGCCAACAAGTTATCGCCCAAATCGGAGCTGATGACCTACTTGGGCATTCCTGATGGTGTGAAAGGATTTTTGTTCATGCGCACAAACAATTCCACGTTCGTCGCCACCAAGGCATTGTTCGACGAGGAGTTGTTCCCCCGCTGTCCTGACAGCAATCGACCACCCCACGTTCCTGTTGGAGAGGAATTTCCAGAACGTGATGACCCAGTGAATCCACAAGATCCACCACAGGTAGACGGAGAAGATTGGCTATATGGAGATAATCCTTTTCCATTTCCCATGCCATCTGATCCGGCTCCACCACCTCCCGTACAGGGAAATGATGATGGTGACGACGGTCATAATCATCAGGACCCACCGCCAGAGCGTCGGGATGAACCTCAGAGGACTCGTAGAAGTAGAATTCCACGACCAAGTCGGGAAGCTTCACCAGCTCCTGAGCCTCGAAGGTCTTCATGCCAGCGGAATGTGCCTACACGTCCAGGAAACGTCTATGGGGAAAAGCGTAACCCTACGGACATAGTCCGTGATATTCAGAACAGCAGAGGCTGGAAGCGGTATGTTGGTGAAGATAAGGGTAGCTCCCAATCTCAACCATCGACCGGTGCTGATGCAGGGGTTCCCGGCCCTAGCTCGCAACCAGATTCCTCAAACGCGGGTGCTTCTGACAATCTAGACGAGGATGCACGCATGGAGAAGCTATGCCGGGAAGGGGGAGTAGAGCTCATCACGGCGCTGCTGTCAAAAGCGGTTCCAAATGAGAACCTACCTGATACGTCCAAAATTCGCGATTGGACGTTCCGCGATATCAAGCGGTTGCCTTCTGAACAACAGAAAGGTTGGATTGATGCTTGCCGCGACGAGTTAGAGGCACTTCGTCAGCGCAAGGTCTATTCCCTTGTGGACTGCCCGAAAGGACGGAAGGTTATCAGATGTCGCTGGGTCTTTGACCAAAAATCTGATGGCCGAAAACGTGCCCGCCTAGTTGCCAAGGGTTTCAGTCAAGTCGAAGGTGTTGACTATGACGAGATATTCTCTCCTGTTGTCAGGTATGAGACGTTCCGGTTAGTCATGGCGCTTGCAGCGCTAAATGATTGGCATTGGTCTGGACTCGACGTCAGTAAGGCTTTTCTCTATGGAGAGCTTGACGAAGAGGTCTACATGGAACAACCCGAAGGCTTTGTGGCGAGAGGCCAAGAGCGCAAAGTCATGCGCTTGCACAAGGCAATCTACGGACTCAAACAAGCTGCTTTAGCATGGTGGAAAGCGCTAACCAAGTCCACGAAAGCCATGGGCTGGATCCGACTAACATCGGATGCCGGCGTGTTCTTCTACAAGGACTCTGATGGCAGCATAGCCGTCATAATAGTCTATGTGGATGATGCACTGTTCTTCTCCAAGAACAAGAAGCTCCTCGCCTTTCTCAAGGCTGAGTTCAACAAGCGATGGGAATGCCGCAATTCTGAAGATACTCCAGAGTTCTTGCGCGTACGCCTCAGTAGAGTGGGATCTTCAATCAAGATTGATCAGATTCCCTATCTCGACAAGGTGCTAGAGCGCTTTGGAATGCAGAACGCCAAGTTCGCAGCGACCCCTCTACCGGCTGGATATGTTCCAATGCCAAATGAGGATGAAGTCGATCCAGAGCTCAGGAAGAAATTCCAATCAGTCATTGGATCTCTTCTCTTCATCATGCTAGGCACACGTCCTGACATTGCATTTGCTGTGACCAAATTGTCACAATTTGCTGCCAATCCGTCCCAAGACCACCTCCATAAAGCGCTGTATATCTGTCGCTATTTGGCTGGTACTAGGAATTATTCGCTCATTTTCAATGGTGCGACGGATAAAGGGCTCATTGCATTTAGCGATTCAGACTGGGCTGCTGATCCGATCAAGAGGAGGTCTACCACTGGTTTCTTCACGAAATTGGCAGACGGGATTATTTGCTGGCAGTCTAGGCTTCAGCGCACTGTCGCGCAGTCTTCGACCGAAGCAGAGTACATGGCGATCTCAGATTGTAGTCGCCAGGTGATGTGGCTGAAGAGCGTCCTTTCGGAACTCCAGTTCAAGCTCACCATCCCAGTACCCATTTGCGGTGACAATCAAGGTGCACTCTTCAGTGGCAGCAATGCCTACCGAGACCGCAGGATGAAACACATAGACATCCGCTATCACTACATTCGTGAGCGAGTCGAGGAAGAAGAGGTTGAACTGTTCTTTATTCCGGGCAGTGAGAATCCTGCAGATATGTTCACCAAGAACTTAGGACGCGTCAAGTTCGAGAAGTTCAGATCTCAACTAGGACTTGAGTTCAACTCGTCCTGAAGGAATGGCCGATGAAGATTTCGCTCTCAAACACTATCCTGTGGTTTTCAGCGTGGGGGAGTGTTGATCAAATGATGATCTTATCATCTGCCAGATGGATGTCGTGATACACATCTTATGACTCCATCACATGTCATCTAGAGTCATGTCGACTCGTCCTAAATAGACACAAATAGCCCCCTGTATTGTATATAAGGAGGGCTCTATTACCCTATAATCCAAGTCTCTTGACTACTCCCGCATAGTGCCCACACTAAGCTCTCACTCACACAGGTGAGCTGCTAGACGCTCTCCCCAGTGCTCAACAGCTGGAGTGGTCAAAGGTGGTTTGGTCTGATGAATGCTACGTTCATCTCTCGGACAACAAGGGTCGGATTTGGGTTACACGTACCTCGGACAAAGTCTACAACCAAGATTGTCTCGCTCCCTCTTTCAAGCAGTCCCCAATCCGTGTCATGGTTTGGGGTTGCATCGCGCACGGATGGAAAGGGCCATTGATTGTGCTCGAGTATCCTGGAGGCAAGGGCGGTGGGATGACGGCGAAGCGATACCAAGACCAGGTTCTCAGAAAGGTCCTCTTCAGGTCGTTGGACGAGGTGAAGCAGAAACGCGGTGGACGAGGGAAGATTCATGTGACAATCAACCCAAAAACAAAGTCGAAAAGAGAAGTGAATTCGAAGACTGGAGAATACAACCAAGTAGCTACAGTATTTATACCCAAATCCAGTCTGAGTCATATCTACAACTAATGAGTCATAGGGCTATGTACCGCATGGAACGCTGGTCATGGGTTGTAGTAGAACCTTCTGGAGCATATGTCGCGCAGCCTCGAATCGATGAAGATAATCCCTGAAACCCCTAGTCCGGACCGTCTGATGCCGTGATCCGTGATAAGATAAGTTGTGCCAAGATAAGATAAGATCGTTGATGATAAGATGAAAAAGTGGCCGAACTATGACATTACCCCCTCTTTAGGGTCGATGTCCTCATCGACCAGGCCAATGGGTAAGAAGACGTTCTCGTAAGGGTCGAAGAGCTGTCGTTGGGGGTATGGAAGGCGCTCGTCCCTGGGCTGGTAGCGATGAATGAGATAGTCCCAGTGTCCAGCTTCGAGCGTTGGCAGGAGGCGAATGCGTGTGTCTGGACTTGATTGTTTCCTCTGCCAGTCTCTCAGGACGTCCTTTGCGTGGGTAAGGTGACGTGATGGTTCCCAGGTGTTCTCGCTGTGCGGCCATCCCTTCCATTTGACCAAGTACTGTTTTCCTCGGCCGACTTTTCGCTCTTTCACGATTTCTTCGACTTCCCACTCCTCTGCTCCTCCGATCATCTTGGCCACGGGTCTCTTCTCTCGGCGATGGGGGGGTGGTTCGTGATAGGGTGTCAACAGTGACTCGTTGAACACCGGGTGTCTTCGGTCCGTGTCCGGCAAATCCAGCTTCCATGCGGCCGCTCCAACCTTCTCCAGTATCTCGTATGGTCCCAATCTCTTGTCGCTCATCTTCTTTGATGGTCTATCCGTCTCGATATTTTCCCCTTCTATGTACACCTTCATCCCAACCTTCAACTCCGGAACTTCTTTTCTTTGTTTATCGTAGTATTTTTTCATTTTTTCTTTTGCTTTTTCCAATGCTGCTTTTGCTTCGTCTTGTATTTCTTTGATTCTTTTTACAAATTCCTCCGCCGACTCGTTCCTTGATTCCATCCGCTGCTCCACTCCCTTCCACGGGTGATATCCGTGATTCGCATAGAATGGCGATATTTTGGTAGACGTGTTCATCTTGTTGTTGTATGCGAACTCCGCCATTCCCAGCCACTCCGACCAGTCCGTCTGATGGTAGTTGACGTAAATGCGGAGATAGTGTTCGATCTCCTGATTCATACGCTCCGTCTGCCCATCCGTGATGGGGTGATATGCGGTCCCCGGATTCATTTCCACGCCCAACATCCGATTCGTTTCCTTCATAAAGCCCTTGATGTATCGAGAGTCCCTGTCGGTGATGATTTTGCGGGGGACCCCGTGATAGCGGAAGATTCGGTCCCTGGTTAATCGTGCTACTCCTTCGCTGCTGATGTCAGTACTAATTGGTTTGACATGGATCATTTTGGTGAAGGTGTCACACCACACATGAATTGCGTCATACCCGTTACTGACCGGCAGGGGTCCGATCTGATCCATAGAGATGATTTCCCACGGCGCGTTTGGAACTGCATGCGGGTGCAAACTCCCTGTCCTGGCTCTTCTGGTCTTGGTCTGCTGGCACGCTTCGCACGTCTGGATGTATTTCCGAATTTGGTTTCCCATCCTTGGCCACCAGTAGTTCCTTTCCACCATCTCCTGCGTTCGGTTGATCCCGGCGTGTCCGACCAAAGGGGTGTCGTGGTGTAGTCCGATGATTTTGTCCCGCAACTCCTCGTCCCTTGGTACGTAGAGCTTCCCATGGTACGTGATAAGCCCCTCTTCCTTCTTCCATCCGGCGAGTGACTTCTCTAAGGCCGCCTTGACGCTTCCATCAATTGATCGAATGGCCTTGATTTCGTCGATTAGCTGCTGATCCTGTCCCTCGAATGTGACTTCTTGTGATCGGAAGAACTCGGGCTTCAGTAGCGTGACGTCCTTGTTGTCGTTCTTGCCCTGATCGTGATCTGCTCGTCGGGACAGGAGGTCCGCCTTGCGGTTGAGTGCGCCGGGTCGGTGTCGTAAGGTGAAATCGAACTCCGCCAACTCCGTGATCCATCGTGCTTGCCGTCGATTGAGCTTCTGCGGCTTCCGAAAGTACTCGAGATTCTGATGATCGGTGAAGATCTCGAACGTTTCCGTGGCTCCCAGGAGCAACTGCCTCCATTCGTCAAGTGATAACATGATTGCGAGCATCTCCTTGTCGTAGATCTCATAATTTCGCTCGGTTTCGGTCAATGCGTGCGAAATAAATGCGATTGGGCGCCAAATGCCGTCTTGGTTTTGGCTCAAAACTGATCCTGTTGCCCCTTCCGAAGCATCGGCTTCCAGACGATATTGGCCAGTGTCATTTGGCAGTGCTAAGACGGCATCCTCCGCGATTCTCTTCTTTAACCCATCAAACGCCGCATGTTCATCCGGACCCCATGACCATCCTGCCTTCCCTGTCAGCCGCGTCAACGGCTTGGCGACCTCCGCATATCCCCGAACGAAACGTCGATAGAAGTTTGTGAATCCGAGGAAGGCTTGGACTTGTTTGACGCTCTTTGGTTCCGGCCATTCCATCACGCCCTTGATCTTGACAGGGTCCATCCGCATCGAGTTGTGTCCAATGATTACACCCAGGTATTCGATTTCCGTGCGTTCGAACTCGCACTTTTCCGGCTTCAGGTATAATTTGTGCTTTTGGAGCAACTCGAGTACCCGTTTGGTGATTCGTCGATGTTCATCCAGATCTTCTGTGAAGATTAGTATGTCGTCCAGATAAACTACCACATGTCCCTCGTTGATCAGTTCCCGGAGTATGTCGTTCATCATGTTTTGGAAAGTTGCCGGGGAATTTGTGAGACCAAAGAACATAACCAAGGGCTCGTAAAGTCCGCGGTTTGTGCGAAACGCAGCCTTCCACTCATCGCCCTCTTTGATCCGTACGTTGTTGTATCCCCACCGGATGTCTAGCTTGGTGAAGAACTTGGCGCCGCACAGGTTGTGGACCAGTTCGGAAATCAGCGGTAGCGGGTACCGATTTCGGATCGTCATCTCATTCAGCTTCCGGTAATCTTGAACAGGCCGTAGCGAGCCATCCTTCTTCTTGACAAAGAAGAATGCCGATGCCATGGGTGATTTTGATGGCCTGATTTGTCCGCTGGCTAGGTTCTCTTGTAAGAACTCGTCGAGTTTGACCTGCTCGTTTCTCGATAAGGGGTACACCTTGCAGTCCACTGCTTTGGAGCCTGGTTTGAGCTCGATCGCATGATCCCATGCCCGTCGGTCCGGTAGCGAGTCGAATGATTCCTTGGCAAATACTTTGACGAATTCTCGGTATTGATCTGGAATCTTTCCCTCGGTCATTCTCTCCTTCTCCTTTTCCGCTTCTTCTGCGAATTTCTGCGCCGGCGTTTCCTTCAGCCGTAGGTCTACCTCCTTTCCAAAGTCGATCAACAAGATCGATTCTCCCTCTTCCAGATCCGGTGCACCCGCGTCCAGCTCAATTGCATCCATGTCGATCATCGCTTGGTGCTCCTCGTGACCCCTCATTTGACATTGCTCTGGGCATCGGCTGAATCTCATTGTCTGCTCCTGCCAATCCACCTCGGGGTTGTGTTCCGTCAGCCAATCCAGGCCGATGAAGATCCGGGCTTTTCCCAGACACGTCAGAAGGAACGTGCGTGTCTCCACATGAGGACCGATTCTCATTCTCAAGTCGACGTAGTGTGTGATCGGACCGCTGATGTTCTCGGTGTTGTCGGCGTTACGAGCCACAATGGGTTGCGGAAGCTCTTGGATATCCAGCTTTTCTGCCCGTGCGTAGTCGGTGTCGATGCAGCAGGTACTGCAGCCACTATCGAGCAGCGCCTTGACTCCACGCGTTTTCCCTGAGTCCAGGCCCGTGATCTGGACATATACGTCCATCGAATGCCTCTTTCTTTCGGCTTGGTAACTGCGCAATTCCTGCGCCAATCTGCTGGGCTGGGGGCCCTTCTGTTTCTCGGTCGCCAATTTCCTCTGGATGGCATCTGGCACCCTGGTGCGTTTGCACTACAGTCAGACAGGTAACTAGGCCTCTAAGGGGCGTCATGACGAAAGTGGGACCCACCTTAGAGGCCAGTTTTCAGCATAGCTACCACTGTGGTATGTACCAGTCTGGTATCTACCTGAGTGCAGGTATGTACCTGCGACTGGTGGGTGGGACCCCAGCTGGCAGCCGGGGGCAAAAAATGCATTTTTGGGGCCATTTCTAGGCTGTTTTGGCTGATTGTTTGAGCATTCTGCCAGGCTAGATTTACTCATTTTTTGTGCAAAACTTTGATCCACATCATTTCTGAAGTGATCCCATCATGGAAACCATTTTGGATGCTGTGCTCCAACCAGTGATCTGATCACCCATGTGTGTAGATGAAAGTTGTTCAGTTTTGTGAGGGCTACAACTTTGGTTTCTCATCACTTTCTTTGTCAGCATCAATCACATGCTCTACTGCCACGGCAAATGGCTCTGTTTTTGATTGCGCATCAATTTTTGATGGTGCCAATGATGCCAGTTCCAATCTCATCTTATCTTTCAGACCTAGATTGACATTTGGTGCTTACTCAATGGTGGTCCCTGATAATCAAATCCCAGAGAAATCTAATCTTGATGTGGCTGTGTGTGATTGGATCAATAATGTGGCACAGCTTCCATTTTAGGTTGCATGTTCAACTTACATAATCTCAATTGAACATATTGGACATGTGACTTCCTTTTGGGGATATTTTGATGCAACTTATAGCAACCCAAAAAGGAAATTTCCCTCAATTTTGCAATAGCACATGCTCATATTGTGGGTTTCTTCTCAGCTCTGTAGGATATATTCTCTTATGTGATTCCTTGCACTTGTGCTCTTCAAAACTTCTACACTGTTGTTTAATGCCTCTATATCCTAATTCTTTCAATGATACCCTACATGACTTTCATTGACAACACATACTTCTCTATGCATATTCCTATTTATTTCTAATGTTTTATGCCTTTCAAGTAATGTGTTGCTGTCCTGGATTACATAGTAGAGCCAGCCATTGCATATATATATGGATAGT